CAGGGAGCGATTGGCATGTACTGCAAATGAAGAACGCAAACGCAACCGTGCCAATGGAAACAACCATGTTCATTTCAATGTGATTTATTTTTGGCGCTAACGCAACCGCTAACGCACGAATGGAATCCTAGCTTTAGTTATCTGCTGCCCAGAAGCTATCAAGACTTGAAGAGCAAGTCATAAGATAAGGTTGTTACATTAATCTTGGATGATGACGTTGTTATACTCGATAGGCACTGCAGCAAACATCTTATGATTTGCCATTTAAACATTGATATTTGTTGGCATACCAATGGATGGTGAAAGTACTTTTCGTTTAACCGTGCAGTGGTTCCCAAACTTTCTAACATGACGCCCCCTTTTGCTTTTTGCGAAGTCCTCACCCCCCCCCTCCCCTTATATTTTTGTGTGTAAAATCTACATGACACCATAGTTATAAGCAAAATTAATTAAAAATCATTAAGAGAGAAGAAATCCAGACTAAAGTACACAGTTTGAGATAAGTCTTAATATACTGTAATTGAAGATGAGGGAGGATCGGTGGCTGGTAGTGTTGTGAAAGATAAGAGTAGGGTGAGTCAGTATGGTATCCATGACATATACAAGACGCGTAAGGAGAGAGATGTAATGATAGAAAACGGATAGGGGTGACTGCTATACTTTGGTTTTGCACGGATGTGTGGAAGATTCTAACGGAGAGAGTTACTCCTGAAAGAGTTTCTTCATTATATTCTTTTTGAGCAAAAAATATCAAATTTTGACAGATGGCTTCACGCCTCCCGTACCCACCTCACCCCCCCCCCCCCAGTTTGGAAACCACTGGAACTTTAACGTGAATAGATCTCTTAGTAGGAATTTCAAACAAATGATATAAATACAGTTTTAAATTTTCATGTCTAACTGATTGAAGAACTTATTTGTAAATATATTTTGTGAGAAAACAATTTCATAACAAAACAAATCAAAACGCTTGTTTAATGAGTGAATTGTGGAACTGTTGCGTGGCTCTTCTGTCCAACTGTTAGATAGGGTGGAATCAAAGGCATTTCATCTTATTAACTCTCCTCCTTTAGTTGATAATCTTTCTTCCCTTTCTCTTCGCCGCAATGTTGCTTCACTCTCTCTTTTACAGGTACTTTAACGGGCAATGTTCCGTGGATTTGGCATCCTGCGTACCGCCGGCAAGGCTGTGGGCTCGTAACACTCGTCTTGCCCGCGCTTGCCCATCGTTTCTCTGAGGATGTCGGTCACACTAGAATAACCCGTTATAGTACATCATTCTTTCCCCACACAGCCAAACTGTGGAATGCTCTGCCTTCTTCTGTGTTTCCATACCCATACAATCTCTCACTTCAAAAAGATGGTTTTCCGGTATTTTCGTGGTGTACAGTAAATTAATATAATCTTTTTCTTTTCTAATTTAATTTTTTTTTACTCTTATTTTTTCGCCCCCAAGGCCCCGTTGTAGATCGATGACCTGTGCCCGGGTTGGCTATTCCCCGTAAAAAAATAAAAACAAAATAAAGTAAACAAATAAAAAATACAACTCCCATGCATTGTCTGGTGTATGAATCTTTTTACGCATTTCCTGGTATGTTAAGTGTTATGCCGAGGCATAATTTAGAACAACATTTTTTGTGAACTAGGTGTTTTGTTTATTTTCTATTCCAAGCAGTAGTTTTTTTTGGCAAGTTTGGGGAAATTTTCTTGTAAAGTATATATTGATGTTTTCCATTGTGTAAGAATTTTCTAGGATGTATTGCATCATTTTTATTATGATTTACTTACGTATTGTAAGCCTAGATCATTTTATAGCTCCACAGGCATATCTAGTTCCGACGAGCAGCGCCTAGATATAGCTAGAATCATAGTAGAATACTCTAGGCGTCTGACGAGACGTATATAAGTGATTGAGAGCCGCTGCTTAACGCTATACGTGACCCCGCCAGGTGGATAACCCACCTGCTTTCAATCTTCCCCGGTACTTCCCTCTTCTAACTTGTAACTCTTACATCTTGTATCTTCAGAGCCTATAAGGTTCCCTTCCTTCCATCTAGAGTAGACTGACCCACCGAACGCCATACAGCGCATGCAATAAAGAACATAAATGATTAATTATGGAAGAAAATGGATGATTAAAACAAATATTAACAAATTTAAAATCATACCAATTGGCAAATAAATGGTCGAACCAGTCATCGTGGATGAAGAAATATACCCAAACGCCAATGAAGGTACCCATATTTGGACTCAAGTTCACAAAAACCGGATATCAAAGCTTCATTAAAGAAAAGGACAACAAACTACGCAGCAAAAAAAAAAAAAGGAAATTCCAAAACCTGAATACACAAAACAAACTAAAACTATTCGGTACTAATAAAATCAACAATAAGCTACCCGCCTGTACCAATCAACGCATTCAGTGACACAAGAATCAAGAAACTACAAACAATACAAAATTAATGTCTGCGCTTTATATATGACATCAGATATGAATAACGGATAACAAACGAAGAACTGCATAGGAGAGCCAAGATTGAGGCAGTAAATGTAGACATATACAGTATAACAAAGCTAAGAAAACACGGGGGCAAGTAGAAAAGTTAGTTAGAAGCAGTAACTCACTGGCTCGATAATGAAATGGAATGAAGAGTGAGAGAGCACCCACGGTTCAGATCCAGCAGAACAAGACTAATAAACCCAGCACCAATACCAAGATACAACTAACAATCTCACATCAATACAATAATAATAAAAAAAATCGCATAGAATGATAGCCAAGTAAAACACTGCCTACACAAACGTCAACCTTTTCAATTAAAATAAAAAGATTGGACCTCCTCCTTGGGAGCCAAAGTATAGCAATTTGGATCCTACACCACTTCCTTGCAAAACCCTTTTCCTATTTTAAACGAAAGCTTCAATTCCTAAATAAAATAAGAGTGACTAACTGAGGTATTTTTGCAGTAGTTCACACAACTTTCCTCCCCCAAATCTATTATCATATTCGAAAAAGACGTCTAATTTTAAGATAATTTTCTTCTATTACATTACCGTCGCAAACGTATAATAACGGAGATAGCACATGCCAAATCTTTCTCTATTTTCTTCCATTAATCTTCCACCATTATCGCCTCCCCGACCTCCGAATCAGCGTGTTTCCTTCATAAATCGTCATGCACAAGCGTTTTCGTACACATCACGCGGCCCATCAAAAACAGGGGTTTTTTTTGGCAACCAATTAAAATTATTTGTTGCTTAATTCGCGGTATTTTTGGCCCAATAAAATTCGATTTTTATTTTTGGTCTCTCATATTTCGAAATTCAAATTCATTTCCGACCATGGAAGTCTGCGATGGGTGTCACTTCAATTATATGGAGCTGATTGCGAGTTTTTTGGGAAAAAACGAAGAAGCTATAGCATTTTTTTTATCTCATGGTGTTCTCCCGGCCTCAGTAAAGTGTCCTAAGTGCAAGAACGAATGCAAATATCGTCAAGACCAACATATGTGCGTTGTAGTAACTCGTCCAATAAGGTAAGAAATACGTGATTCTATCATATGATGAGAGTTAGGTTAGGTTAGGTTACGTTAGGTCAGGTCAGGTTTATGTTTTTCTATTGTTTTTTTTTTTGAGTACTTTGTATTCGCTTAGCCATAATTTTTGTATGAAAATGCCCCACAAAAAAAAATAAATAAATAAAAAAAGGCTAATTTCCGACGGAAATGAAGGTCATAACCGATCTAAACACACATAAATACACTAGAAAAACATATTTTCAACTTTCTAACAGAGTTGTGTGCACTTATGCAAATTTACCCACTTGTGATACATCTACTGCTTGGGGGGCTTCCCGACATACGACTTGGCCGCTGGTAACCAGCGGTGGAGGCTGGTTAATGTCATGTTTCTCTTTAAGTTTATCTGAAGACCTATAGACAAATTATTCTCTTGCACCCTGAAAATGGTTTTTAGCACTGTCATCCTTCGTTATGCATACTTGACCTGACCAACTTACTGAGAGCTCTTATGAAATTGCACATTTTCTCCGAACTGTACCCATTGAACATATGGTTGGGTAAATTTTTAGTGCATCTCAAAATAACTTTGAGGCTATTCTTGTTGAATGTTACTTGTGTACTTTAGTTTCAGTCAACAAATTAGGTGCATTCTTATGCCTTCAGTTACGAGGAATATAAATTGTAATAACTTTTTGAGAATCTGGAGACAGACGTTATACATGGCTTGAACATTTCCCATGTAATCACTGTATTTACTAGGATGGTCGGTGGGACTTTCGCCTCCATCACTCACTTACTGTAGTATTTATGGTGGGCGAGGTGTCTTGCCTCGCATGACATACGGTAACCCACGTAATAAATGAATTAGTTGCCGATTCAACAACAATTTCTTTCGTCTTGTACCTCAGTAACTACACTCCAAACCCTCCACGCAGGAATCAGTTGAGTGAAAACTGACTTCATGATACTTTATATTAATTTACATTAGTAGGGCCACCACTATCCACTTAAATGCAAGAGTCAGGTAGCTTTGGAACACCCACTTACATTTTAGCATATATTGTACAGAAAACTTAGGTATAATAATAATAATAATAATAATAATAATAATAATAATAATAATAATAATAATCTGCAGTCAATCACCCTGTTAATCAAATTTCCTGACAGGCTGTGTGAATCCTAACTGTAATAACAAGTTTCACAAGCAATATCCATCAGGGGCTTTAACAGTAATAACCTTGACCTAATTAGTGTATATGGCAAACTAACACCACACACTAAGCTATCACTCTAATCTCCGGTGATAATAATAAAAAGAAATATACTTATTTGCGCTATGGAAGGCTGTTGGTAGAAAGCGCCAGGAGTATTATGAAATATGAGGGCGTTTGCGGGAGAACCTTGGTAGAATAGGTTTAGGGAGACCCATGTAGGGGTTGGACCAAGGGGGGTAAAGTCGCGGGGGGAGGACCCAGGTGGGGGAAGTAAGTATCGCTATGGCGTTGCAAGATGGCGGGTGCTACGCCTAGTAAGAGAGCTGCTCCTGATTCCAACACTTTACAGCCAGCAAAGAAGACTCACTGGTCACAAGGTCTTCTGGCTTCCATGAACGATCCAAATCTCGTCGTAGAATCGGACGACCGGATCGTTATCATCAAAGACAAGTATCCCAAGGTAAAATAAGCCTCGGTAAAACAGTCTGGTGGTGTTGCGGTGAGGGATGGTCGAATGTGGTCTTTGTTGTGCCCGGTATACGGTCCGATTTGCTGCTGAATTTTACTTGTTGGACGGACGGATGTCGTTTGACACTTACTGTACTTGTCGAGCCCCACATGACACAGCGTCGCCTGTCATCATGGAATACTTTATAACACGTCCTCATAGGTTGTCACATGCTGAGATATGACGTGATGCGTAAATATGAGATATATTTGACGAGTAATGACGGAAGATATAAGAATACTGGTATTTTTTCTGGCTATAATGGGTATAGTGTATATTATTCGTATTGTACTTTGATATTGGACGGAAAATAAGGTTGGGATTGTAAGTCCTCATTAACAAAAGATAATAATTGCATACTTAATTGCTTTAATGAATAAACTACAGTATTTATATTATTGCTGTTCAAGTGATTGTCATCATTCTGAACTTTATTATATATAAGAATCTGTGTATTTTTAAATTTATATACGTCCATCTGCTTGATGTCAACAACAGCAATGTAGTGACCAATAAATTTTAGTAATGAATTAGTTAATCAAATGAGGAATTTTCACTTTGCATAAAGATAAAATTAAAACCAGTAAATTCACGTTTGTATGAACTTAGTGTGAAGAACAGTTTAAGGGTTGTTTTGGGTGAACGATTAGTCTAGATTACGGTACTGTACATTCATAATATGTATATAAATAATGCAGTACTGTATACATAAGTACCTGTAAATTAGCAAGTTTGCTCTTATGGTGCCTGGTAAATATTAGGTAGTCAAATATTGTATCAATATTGGCACAATATATATATATATATATATATATATATATATATATATATATATATATATATATATATATATATATATATATATATATATATATATAATCAGATGAAAGATATGGAACTGTATTGCTAAAACACTTTGGTGACAAGATGTTCACAAGAAAATCAGCCATGACTACTTTCAATTATACAATATTTGGTGGAAATATTATCTTACAAATTAGGTTAATATGAGGTTAACCTGTACGGAATTGTCAATTAAACCATTTATCATATGTCAAACAACATGTTTTAGTTATAATACAATATTATAGTTTGCTGTATAAATCATATTAGAATTAAATTGCACTAACCTTTGCTTTGTGGCTTGTATATATTGTATAGACAGCTTGTAATATAAAGTATTGTACAGTGTATACAAAATAAGATCTTTAAACAACACTGATTTCTGTACTAAAATAACATGCACTGTACAATAATGAATTTTTTTCATTAAAAGTGAATCAGAGGTCACTGTAATGTATTGTACTGTACTGTACTTGATAAAGTTACGGTGAATTTATGGTATTTGTTGTCTCACAGGCCCGCTATCATTTTTTGGTGATACCCAAGTTAAATTTTCCCAACTTGAAGTCACTAAAAAGAGAGCAGAGTGAGTTATTGCATTATATGGAGGATCAGTCTCGATTACTAGCTACAAAATACCCGCAAGTGGAGTTTAGGTGAGTAGAAATGTTTAAAATTTTGTGTTAAAGGTAATGATTTTTTTTTAACACAAATTGGATATTTAATTACAATGGAAAGTGTTTCTTTGAGTACCAATCATTTTAGATTTTTTGGCAAATACTGTAGTATTTAATACTGTAGTTGATTTTTTTTTCTTTCAATTTCTGAGATGAAAGCCCATGGAGCCTGGATTCTGTTTTGAAAAGGATGATAATTTTTAAATGATTATTTTAGCAATTTCTTATTTTTCCTCTAAATTGGGGAGGCTGTTCCAATAAACAGTGGAACCATGGGCTTTATACAGCAGTATTTATTAACCTGTGAGCAGCCATTCTATACAGTATTACCTTTTTTTACCTAGCTAACAATAGATTTTCCCAAATAATTTCTGAATATTGTACAGTACTGTAAACTCAAATTAATTTGATAATTGATGCAGGGAAGCTATGTTTCATAGAAAAGTAGATTTGTGCTTTGAAAAATACACAGTAATGGCAATTTACCTTTAAAGCTATACCTGTATTTCTAATAAACCATTAATAATCCATTAGTACAATAATACAGAAATGCAGTAGTACTGTAATGATATCAGATACTGAATAATGAATTTTATATTGTTGTGTTTGGGTATAGGGTGTGCCACTCCTCAGTTGATATATTGTACTGTGTTACACAGGTATCCCCCTATTTACAATAGGATTGTGTTCCTGAAATCCTAACATAAATTGGGACCCTTTTAACATGGGTTTCAATGGGATACTGTCCTGGCCTGTCCAATACAGAAAAAATGACCCTGTACTAATTAAATAATAAATAAAATAAACACACACCAAGCACAGAAAAACTTATCCTATCATCAATAAATAAAATAAATTAAACACTCATTACACACAGAAAAAACAATCCTACATGCTTCCAGTCTTTACATTCCGTGTCAGCGAGTTTAGTCTAATGCTAACTATTGTTAACATGGATTTTGCCGAACAAAAATTGATTGAGGGTGTTAAAACCTAATTACAGTTAACATGGATAATCATAAAGAAGGGGATACCTGTATTGTACAGGTACTGAACTGTACATGTTATGCTTCTGTTTCTGTTTTTGTGTTACTATGTACAGTCTTCAGATTTTCACATTGTTCAGTGTACAGTACTATATTTTCAAACATGTAAAAAACAAGAACAAATCCTCAGAGACATATGCTCAAATCACAACAATACATGCAATAACAATATTAGTAGAGGAACTGAGGCCCCATCAAAGGTATTGCTCATATCACAGTTGCCTTGACTCGCCAGTTTGATGTGAGAATAGCATTGACGGTATGGTTGGTGGCTGACCAATCAGTGTATGTATGTACAGCAGTGGCCATGAACACATAGGAAATACAGGATGTATTTCTAGTTAGCAAGATACTGTCCCACTTTCCATTATTGTATGTGAACGATGCTGTCCCATTAATTAGAGTTTACTATAGGCTTTTTTTGTCAGGCGTTTTAAGATGTACGGAATAGCTAACATGTTAGCTTTCCCGGACTCATTAAAAAATAATACTTTTGTACAGCGTCTTGGAAATAACTTGTACAATCAGAAAACAATAAAATTAGAACTGTCATTTGGACACAATATGGAAATTAATAGTGAAAAAAATACATAGAAAAATATGGAAAGAAAGACAAAAAGGAAAAAAAAAGTCAGTCAGTCAACAATAAACATGGCGGATTGATCCATTTTTTATACAGGAAAGGTACTCCACTACGTACTGTATGTTCTCTTGTCTCGCGGTTACATTGTGTTGTTTACAGGTGTTCGCATATACAGTACTGTAATATACACACAATATGACAAATTTCAGGTTCGTTGTTTTAATTTTTGCACTTACAGAACTGTTATAAATTTTCACCCTTATTTAAAGTATCTTATGAGTAATGATATTAAAGTGTTAATCATATTTGAGTAATTATCAATATTGTTACACCAAAGTCACCAACAGCTAATGAAATCACAGAGTGCCCACTTAAAAATGGGCGGAGCCAAAACTGGTTTCAACTAGGCGCAATTCTTTAAAAAAAAATTCATGCCATACACTTTGTTTTAGGTCCTATCCAATATACTACCATATATAGAATTATTAGTTATTATATCACAGTTTTTTATTGCCATACTTGCCCCCAACTCTTCAATATTAATCAAAATATTCTCCATAAGCGGCCATGATCCGCATATTTTCAGTGGGAGAAATTGCCAATTGATTGTTAGCTATTTGGGCCGCTTGGGCGCTGCACAAGGCTAAAGCCTGATCGAGGTGTTAGCTTTTCCCTCTGAATGTGTTAGGCACACTAGTCAAAAGCAGCGTCTGCGCATACCCAATAGCTAATGCGTTAGCTAATCCGTGCATCGAAAACGCCTTATATTTCCTTCATCTTGTGATACCATGTACTATAGTTTTGTCTCAAAATCTTTGAACACAAGATTTTTTTTCTTAAATTTTTAACAATTATAGTTCTCATTGTTTTCTCATAATATTCCTTTGATTTCAATGAGAAAGGCACAATGTCATTACACAGGTCAATAACATATGTACACTGTAAAAAAAAATATCTTTACAAATCTTGTACGAAACAAAGTGACACCACAAACGAAGGTTTTTGATAAAGGCCCATGAGGCATACCTCGCATTGTAGTCCTGCATGTGGATTGTTCAGTTCGAAATTCATCGGAGCCTCCATGAAAGATACTTTTTTTACCGAGTGTACAGTATTGCATTATACCGTACCTTACCAGTATTCACTGCTCATGTTAGCCATTTAGTACTCCTGGCCGTAGTTGGAAATCTCACCCCCCCTCGGAGTTTTTCGACGCAGGCTGTTTCAGTAACAGGAATGGTTTTTCCATTTTAATAAACAAATTGCACTCTTAGAGATGCATCTGCCAGTGCATGAGGCTAGTGGGAGGAACTTAGGTAGTTGACAGAGCCGGTCCACTGTTTCCTCATTTCTGCTTACGGGAGGGGTGCTCTTAGTGACATAAAACTGAGTGGGAGGGGATGTGCCAGCACGGGAGTGCTTAGTGACGCAATTTGTGCTGAAATACCATGAGAGGGTTAAGAGATACAGTATTCATTACTAAAACCACATTCTTGTCTCTGCATTAGGAGGGAGGATTATTTTTCTTGTTATTTCTATACAGTAAAATGAAATCAATATTTTTTATCCAGATCAAATAGTGTACTGTACAGTACAGTATATTGTAGAGTACTGTAATCAGCCAGCATCAAATTTATTTTATACCCCTTGTACACAAAAACTGTGTTAGCCAAAACTCTGGGTACAACCTCAGAAGTAAAACCTCTTATTAACAGACTCTCTGAAACTAATTTCGGTGATTTAGCAAGTGTTGAAATATTGCAGGATTGTTTCTATGATTTTTTTCCTTTACTAATATTTGTAAATTATTCTGTACATTTATACAGTATACAATATATATATATATATATATATATATATATATATATATATATATATATATATATATATATATATATATATATATATATATATATATATATATACAGTATATATATATATATATATATATATATATATACATACTTATTATAAACAGATATGGATACCATGCAATTCCAAGTATGTCTCAATTGCATCTTCACATGATCAGCCAAGACTTTGACTCTCCTTGTTTGAAGACCAAACGTCACTGGAACTCCTTTAACACAAGATACTTTTTGGATAGTGCAGGTGTGTGTGTGTGTGTGACCAATTTCATGTTGTTTTAACAGGATTTAATTCAATAAATTAGTACTTCAAGAGACTTTTTTAACATGCAAGCCCTGATCCAATTTGACACATGGTGGATACTGTCATTTATTCATTCTAGCAACTTTATCAGATGTGTTGTGCTTTGGTATTCCACTAATATAACATTGCCCCAAGATTTATATCTGATTTAGACCTATTCAATCACTCTTACAACCCAACATCAAATCTATCTCCTCTCTTTATACAGTAATTCACTCTCGAGCAATATTATTTTACACTATCTTTTCACTTAATATGTCCAGCACTTCCTTCCAAAAAAAACAATCAATGCCATGCTTCCCACTCATTCACATACTTACACACAAAAATTCATTCACATTCTTAGATATATACTGTGGCAGGAAACAAGCTTAAAGTATTTTCTTTTTCATTCCCCTGTATGCCATTTTTGTCAGATCTTAAAGATTAGTAGGTGTACAGAATTGAAACATTAAAGGAGGTTTCATATTCTTCATGTTTTGCACAATATGACAGGAGGGCTCAGTTAACTGAAGGTGAGGGGGAAGGAGACTACAGCTTGAGAAATTCTCAGTTTTTCAGTTAAATGAAATTGATACAGAAAAAAGTTGATATACTTAACCCCAACAGTTGAATAGGACTCCCTCGAATTATAAATCTGCAATAACCTATTAAAACACTGAACAAATATGTTAGAGAAATTGCCTGATTTTTTTCAATCATATGTAGCTGTGGTGATCAAAAAACTTTCTTCTGATTTCAGATGTGATTCGTTGTTTGGAGGAGCGTGGGATGGTAGTAACAATGACTCCTATAGCAGGAGAAAAACTCTTAGATCAACCCTTGAAGTGTCACAAGTGCGTATATTCTCCACAAAACATGCCCAAACTTAAGCAACATCTCTATAAGCATATAAATAATTGAAATGTGTGTCACTTTTCTTCAATACATTGCATATAAAAATGTTGTGAAAAAAGCTTGTTTTCATCACTCAAAAACATATCTTTGTATCAAGTGGAATGCAATTAATTTTTGACTTGAAATATAACCAGGTTGACTAAGCAGAGAGCCACTTAACATGGTGTGTGCAGAACAAGTAATCTTCCAGGAAAATAGATACATTTTTCAGTGTTTTTTTTTCCTACAGGGATTCTGTCACTCATACAGATATGGTTTAGATTAGCTGTTAGCTCACAAGTTTTTGTCAAATTATGTGAGCTGTGAAATGACCATGAATGTCACAATCAGCAGCTTTGAATGCATTTATCTTTTTATGTGTGTGTGTGTGTGTAAATTAAGTTTCTGCCCACTTAGTGGATGCTTCCATGCACTCGATGTGAAGACTTATGTTCAAGGCATAATTTTTCACTTCTTTCTCACCTTTCCTTTGTCTTGCTATTTGTGTGATCTTACATGAGATTGTATCCTTCATTGCCAAGGTACATGCCTTGAGTTAGATATACTGTACTGAACATCTTAACTTTGACGTCAATGAAGTCACACTGAACCCATTTTGAAATAAAGAGAGTTGGTGGGTATATTTCCTGCATTAATTGAACAGAGATGATAACTTTTGGTACAAAGTCGCCTAAAGTCCCCTATGATGAAGTAGACCTGCATTCTGACCTTATATTTTTTGTTAGTATTGCCCAGTGGGTGTACACTCGTAATTTGCTTTACAGTACAAGCAGTGGTGTAGATTAATATAGTCTTTCTCATTTCTATTTTTAATTTCTTTTTACTCTTATATTTTTTCGCCCCCCAGGCTCTGATGTGGGTTGATGACCTGTGCCCGGGTGGGCTATACCCCGTAAAAAAAAAAAAAAGTGAACTAGTTTAATTACTTTTGAACATGTATTATGGTTTGAAGAAATTACATTACTGTATATGTGCTTAACCAGACTCAACAGGATGGTAATGCAGAATCTCTTAGAAACACATCAGTTTCTAGCTATTCTTCAAGCCTTCAAGACCCAACACCAGTGCCTGAACACTTACATAACAATTGTAGGATGGTTTGACCTCTGCAGTTGAAGCAGTCATGACAGTTTGTATTATAAACAGTATGGTGTGAAAAGAGTTAGGCTTATCTCTCCACTTCAACACACATAATGGAAAAATAATGGAGATGCAGTCCTAGGAAGATGTAGAGGTTGACTCAGTGTGACAGACTACTTAATGGGTTGCACTGTAGCCAAAAACACAACAATAATAGTGGGAGAAAGTTAATACAGTACTGATTACTTCTTCAGTAAAAATGATGTATGAACACCACATTCATAATTATTTTTGAGGATTAATTTTTAGGCAATATTATCCTGCAGGCAGTATGAAGCTAATGTATGTAAGGTTTTACCATTTGAATGAAATAAGTTTGACCATGTATTATGATCCAGTACAGTACTTGAAGCTAGGACCTGGGTTATTGACCTTATTTGGTTCTTTAGATTTCTGTGGTTGCTGACTTTTTGGTCATGTCTCTCTAGACACTATTGCAAAGTATATAGAAGATTGTACTGAGTTGGGATGATCTTGTGACCTCTTTACTGAGCAATGTCCTTATTTTGTAAGGATTATGGACTTGGGCACATGAATGCCAGTATAATTGCACCATGAACTTCAGTTGTAGAATTGAAGGATTTTCCCTGATTATAAATAACACAGTACAGTATTATGAAAATATGGTACCGTGCTGTAATACGTAATGACTACCTTTTTCTATGTGTGGTGTGTATGAGGAATATTTAAATATGTTTGTGTGAATGTGAAATAGAATGCTGTACAGATCTGAAGACTGGTTTTGTTATACAGTACGTATCTGGAATAGTATAAGAACTGACACAGCTTTAGGTAAATTCTATTTGTCAATAATGACAAAGTACTGTACTAATTTTCATTTTAATCTTTAGAGATATCAGTAAGCTGTTTTATATAATTCAGTCAGTTCTCATTTTCTTGGGTGTAAGTAGGTGCATAATGATTCATAAGAATGGGTAAAATAATTTGGGCATTATATCTTTCAGGTGTTAACAGGTTTTGTGCACTACCCCAATCTGGTGACAGCCCAATGTACTGTATTGGTAAAATATGCATTAAATCATGAATATTTCCCTGAATCTTTCCTAAGTACAGTATGTACAATCAAACACAAAAGTTGTGTCACGGTTTTGTCCGAAGATTAAATATAACTCGTGAATTATTATGAGAGCCCCTACCACAAGGCAGAGCGCACCAAAAGTTTAGCCCTTCGGCACATGTTTTCACAAAATTTCACGACACAACTTTTGTCTTTCATTGTACACTATGGAACTGGTTTACTGTACATTTCTTCTTTTGTCATCACCATATTAACTTAATTTAACCAGCTACCAATTATTATTTTTTAAATTTAATAGTTCAGAAAACAATATCTTGTGTATTTTTCCCAATTAAAATTGCAAATGCAGGAGTAGAACTTCAATGAACACCTGTAGTGATTAATCCATTGATTATTGTTAACTCATAGTGAGTATGTATACAGTATATGTACTGTACTTCACAGTACAGTACTATAATGGTATTTGAGGTTGTTTAGGGAATTTGTATGTTACATTATTTTCAAGTCTTAATTTAACATATTATTTTCAGGTGATAAATTAAAGGGAAATATTTTTTCAGAAACATTAATAGTTTTAATTTGTGACAACTTTTTGTTTGCATGTACAGTACTGGGAAACAAGTATACAGTGGTCCCTCGATTAACGAACACAGTTGGTTCCACAGAGTAGTTCGTTAACTGAAAATTTCGTTAACTGAATCTGTTATTTCAATGGGATGTTGGGTAATTGGTTCCAACTCACAGAAAAAGTACATACAAAGTACTGTATACCAGTAATAGAATTAACAAAACATTAAATATAAACTAAATACAGTACTGTACTGTACAGTATACTTTATAATAATAAATAAAAAACAATAGAATACTATATTTTAACTTACTTTGAGGTGTGTATGTCGTATTCCCGGCATATTTGTTTACATATCAAACAGCTGATTGTAGAGGCAATCGATGATGACATGCCATATTCTTTACAGAGTGCATTGGTTCTAATGCCTTCTTCATGTTTCATAATAATTTCTGCACTGTATATTATCAATATGTGAACTAAATTTCAGAATGACCAATAATTTTAATGTAAAAATGCAAAAATATTCAAGAGACCAACAAACTGGATGTTCACTCCGCTGTAAACCAAGTTAAACTGGTAAGCGTTGGTGGGCGATTCGATCAGCTGATTGGCACACAAAAATTGTTCCCTGTATTTATATATTATCAATATGTTAACCAAATTAGAATGACCAATAATTTTAATATAAAAAATGCAAAAATATTCAAGAGCACAATTTTCTTGATATTTACTCCATTGTTGTAAACAGAACCAATTACAGTACTGTATTGGTGGACTAGCCGATCAGCTGATGCGCACAACAAAGTGTGTTTCTCGTAAGGCTGTCGTTAATCAAAGTTTTGTGCGTTAATGGAATTGAAAATCCTTATGGGAGCTAATTCGTAAACCAAAATTTCGTTAATTGGACCGTTCGTTAATCGAGGGACCACTGTATATGAAAGGATGGTTTATGTCTTCATGAGTAGATTGTGAATATCCAACACTATGAAACTAAGTTTTTCTCATTAATGTTGAACTTAACACAGAAAACTTGAGCTGTCATTTTTATTTAATTATAATCCAGTAGCCTGACCATGTCACTGATATATCGACAAGTATTGGCTCTTGCATTTTGTTTAATAAGTAGTCATGGTACAATGAAAGTAAAAATGAAACTATCTCGAGACTATATCCTTTGTGGAAAATTTTTCCCTCACTGTCTTGTGATTAGTTTATAAATATGAGAAAAATCTGTTAATGCCATCCATTGAAGAAAATGTATACAGGGGGTCCCCAAAGTTTGCAGATTTTTATTTCGCGGTCCTCTATTATTTGCGGATAACACCCTGAATGTACTGAAGAACGTCTGTGGGTAGTTTTATAGTTGCCACCATTTTTGAGGCTGGGACAAGGAGCCATTTGTTCTGGAGACAGTAATTTCCTTTACCTGTATTGTAAATATGTGTAGACACACACAAATAGATAATAATTGGAAAATCCTCTCACAAATAATCAGAAACAAGTTTAAAAAATGTGAGTCTACCCTAAAGTCTATGCTTCATTACTTTATTAACAAAGCACAGACTTGAGGGTAGACTCCCATTCTTTAATAAATTTGTTTGACTATTTGTGAGTACTTTCCCATTACAGGTATTATTTATTTGTATGTGTTTTGTGTGTGTCTGCACACACACATATACAGGTAAAATAAATAATTGTCCTAAGGGCAAACACATAGAGGTTATATACATTTCTTTGTACACGAGCAAAAATGAATCCCCGGTTCGCAAATGTTAGTCGTAGATTTGGCGATTCGCGGCCATTTTGAGAACCTAACCTCCACAAATTTTGGCCCCCCCCCCACCCCTGTACTGTATTATAGGTGATAGAGGTAGCACACTTACCTTTGCAACCCGGGTTTGATTCTCACTTGGAGCCAGAAAGACCCAACCCAATATCATAAGTTACTCCAGGTTCTTGTGCTGTTGGACTTATGATAAAGAATACTAGCCTCATGCCTTCATAAAGTGTACTCGATTAAACACTTGATAATAAAAGATAATTAACATGAATTTCTAATATGCTTTTTTTTCTTTCATTAATTCATTCTTACTTTTATACAGTAATAAATGTTTTACTATGACACCCCTTCCACATAGTCCCAAATCTAGTTTACCCACTACTTCATGCAAGCTAGCATCCTCCACCAACAACACTTTTCCTTCAAACCTCTTAAGTATCTCCACTCATATGCACTCACAATGCTGCATCCTGAATGTCCATCCCCTTTACTTCTAGTGTGCCCTCTTATCTCCTTGGTGTTCCCCCCCCTCCTACCATCCCTTGGCAGATACTATTCTTGCATCTAATTTCTTATTCTCTGCATCCTATTTACCCAACACATTGCTGTCAAGCTTATCAGTTATATTGCATCTAATTTGCCCCTTCCTTTTGGATCCAAAATTAGTTCTTCACTCATATAATAGTGTTGGCTCAGCAATATCCCCATCTTTGCATCCTGAGTTCTCTCCCTCCATCTATTTCTTTCATTCTGATGCTCTGTGATTCATATCATTATCCATCAGTCCAATTGCTGACAATTTATTTCCACTCTGGTATCTGAAATGCTTCACTTCCTCCACTTCATGCTAACATCTTTTTCCACTTAGTTTCCTTCTCAGGTTAGTGTTTTTATTCCAACTTTTTCCAACTCCATTATCAACTTTTTTGAAGTACATGTCCCTCCACAAACACATAATATGGAAAGGAACAGTCAATAAACTGAAGGTAAGGTTAGAAAAAACAAGGATGTGGTTAACACTTACGTTAGTAGAAGAGATGGGTCGGCGTACAGGAATGGAGGCTGGTTCCGAGGCAGAGGGCAGGCTACTGGCCCTCAGGTGAGTCACCATCACTGTCATCCACACTTGTCAGGGCCTCCCTGACAAATCCCTCAAAGTCATCATCACTGTCTACCTCTGTCACTATCACTGGCTTGGGCTGGCTGTGGTGGGTTGCGGGCGAAGAACTCTGTTATGCTTTGCTGACGGCTGGTGTTTATGTTGTCGTGATAAACCTTGAAGTAGGGCTCCATAGTCTGCAACAGCTGGGTAGTGATGATTTCATACCTGTTTGCGTCAGGGTCGTCGGAAAGGAGGAACTTGACTTTCTCGATACACTCGATGGCACCCCTAACATTACTATGGGATAAGCGGCAATCTTCTTGGGATGACGCACCACCTGCCTCTTCACTGACGTCATCATCATCTACCATCTTGTCGGTAGTCACATCAGGATCCCTTATCACCTCCAGGATGTCGTCGTTGGTGGTCTCGGAGAAGCCTGCAGCTGTAACACTCTGCGCAGCTTCTCTGGCAAGGTCCACTGCTACTGCAACAGTCTGAACCTCACCAGTCACAGATTGACTCTGCCTAACGGCCGGAATGCCTTGCAACACATGTCTCCATGCGTGACGAACAGTTAATACAGACAGCTGATCCCATGCCTCCACCAAGAAGTCCACAGCTTTCTTGATGTTGAATATTCTCCAGAATTGTTTTAAAAGTACTTGTTGTTCTGCCAACTGTTGATCCTCGTCGTCTTCGCTCTTGCTATCGGTGGTGGTGTCACTCAGGTTACGCAACTCTTCCCTGGTGTTGGTGTAGTCGTTCAGGAGCTTGAATTTTTTAGTAGAGAATGCAGCTTTTACATTACAGATTAACTCTTGGTCCATGGGCTGTAATATAGACGTAGTGTTGGGAGGAAGGAAGACCACTTTTATGTTGGGGTGACGATCTAACAGTAGGGGCGAGTGTCCTGGTGCGTTGTCCAGCAGCAACAAAATCTTGAATGGCACATTCTGTTGCTCACAGAATTTCTTCACATTGGGAACGAAACAGTCATCAAACCAGGAGAGGGACAGTGTAGAGAACATCCACTCCTTACGTGCGGTCAGCCAGTGGACATTTAGCTTGGTCATGTCCATGCTCTTGTAGGCGTGCGGCTTGCATGCTGTGTGGATCACCGATAACTTAAGCTTACAGGTACCGGAGGCATTGGTGGTATACAGGACGGTGATGCGCAACTTCCGGCCCCGAATCTTGCTGGCATTCTTCACAACGAAGGTCTTGGAAGGTAGCTTTTTCCAAAAAAGACCAGATTCGTCCATGTTAAACACCTGGTCGTCGGTGTACTGCCCTTCCTCCATAATGTCACGTAAAAACGGAGGAAATTCCCTAGCCGCAACACGGTCAGCACTAGCTTCTTCACCACCAATGTTGATTTTGGTGATCTTGTTCCTCTTCTTAAATCTCTGTAACCACCCAGAGGAAGCATTAAAGGGTTTGGGCTCTGTAATTCCCATCTTTCGTGACACTGCAGCATACAGTTCACGTGCGTACTCCTTAACAGAGCGCGTGTCCACCGCCATGTTCCGTCGCGCCTGACGCACCAAGTAGCTCGCAAGTAATTTTTCCGTCTTGAGAAGCACCTGGTTGTGGAAATACTTGATCATAGAAGCACCTGTAGACTTTGTGATGTTCATGTGCTCCTTTATCTTGGCTGCATCCTTCTTAATTGTCCTGATCGTAGACTCATTAACACCATGCTGGCGCGCGAGATCAACCTGTCTTGTTCCTTTCTCCAACTTTTGTATGATCTTATACTTAATTTCGTAGCTTAAGGAATGTCGTGTCTTCTTTGGCTTAGGGCGGCTGGGTCCAGGTAAGGAAAGGTTTCTCTCTGGGGGCGGTGGTCCGGCGGAAGCCATTTTACAGAACAATGGATGCACGATTACACGGTGTGGCCTGGAGGGATGAAACTGCCGCTGCTAGGTCAAGCGTCGTCTTTCCTCTCTCCCTCCCTCCCGCGGGTGGACACGTCATATTACTTTAAACCAATCACAGCTAGCAGCGGAGGGAGGTAAGGATGCATGGCCCAATTACAGTCCGATACGTCATATGACGTCACTGATAATGCAACAAAGACACACTGCGCAACCTACTCGCGCCGCTTACACAACATGGCGGATGGCGGGAGGTTTGGATCCAAAAATGGCGCGGCGCCAGATGACCGCCAGCCGCTCTCCGCGTAAAGGGGAACACGCACCGCAGACTGTGAGCATTCCGGTTTCAGCAGGGTACCGCGTAAACGCGGAATGTGGGACCGCGTAAAGCGAGGGTTGACTGTAATAATAATAAAGAACCATAAATAAATGCAAAAATGAAAAAAAAAATCAAGAACGAGAAAATATATGTATGTTGTGTTGTCAATAGTAAGAGAAGCAATTGAGACCCGGCAATTGTGTGTAAATGAGGTAGAAAGTCAGATCAGCAACCTGGGACTTAGTCACAATTTTTGTGATGACATATGTTCTTTGACTTTTCCGTTTTTTATTCACGGTTTCTGTGCTGGTTTATATTTATTTACTAAAGTGGTTAATGATTTTAAGCAAATTCTATTGAAATATGAATGGCAAATGAAAAAAAATGAATAGAGGGAATTAAATGAGGTAGGTTAGGGAAAGGTACTTTGAAAATGTATGTTTTATTTCCGTAGACTTTATGTACTATTAACCGACCTTTCGGATTATCCGTCGGCCCCTTCCCCCCATATGTGGTCGGTTAATCGAGGTTTTACTGTATTCATTACTTGAAAACTTCTTTAGTATTATTAAATCTCTATTCAGGGTCTTCTTTGACTTGTAAACAAACTTCACTACGCACCCATTGTCATTTCTTTAGCTTTCACAGACGCCTCACTTGCTTCAGCAATTGAAGAACTATAGCACTATCCTGCAAGGCCTCAACTGTAGTAACGGGATCCATGGCAAACCTTGTCTAGACGCTTTGTTGTTGTTTTCGTTGAGTTGGGCAGACGTCCCAACAAAACATCCCAGTGTGACGCAAATGTTTCTTTGTTTTGCTGGCCGGACAGTGTTTGCCCAACATGTTGGGAGGAAAAGTGCCCATTGTGCCGCCACTTTTACTGCCAGTATTATTATTCGCCAAACCTGCACCTTTGTCATTCTTGCTTTCACCTTTCTTACTGCACCATGTATGAAAATATTAAATACTGTAACCAAGGTGACTCCACAGATCTGACAAATTACATTTCACTGGGAAAATTTTTTCATTTACTGCATAAAATTTCACTGCTTCCCACATCAATTTTCTATTTATCTACAATCAGGTTTCTAAACTTTGGGACAGAGATAATTCACAAGAGAATAAAAAGTTAGATTTATTGGATTAATTATAAACCACTATCAAAGAATGCCAGATATCTGTATACAGTATCCACTTTTCCATATTAAATTATATAAAGAGCCAATAACTTTGTCTGCATTGCAATATGATAACGATAAATAAACCTTAAATTTTAAGAAAATAACAAAATACTGTACTATTGTTTATAAACATATTTAAATCTCAAATTTAGTCCTTGAAATTTTATGAACAGGAAATAAACAAATTGTCCCCACACATATGCTCCCTTATTGGAAAGCCATGGTAAACAAAAGTTTCTCAAAAACATGAGAAGCACCACTAAGAAAAAGTCTTGAAAAAATGAATCTGTCAAAAGATGCAACTGACTGGTGCAGCCAGTTACTTCCAAACAAAAGTTCCAAGAAATAATTTGAATAAAAATAACCTCCGAGAAGATACATTTAAAAAAATAAAACTTAAAGCTTCATCCATATGAAAATGGGTGCAGAAACATTAAATAAATGACTAGTATTAAGGCTTATGTTAGGTTTTATTCTGTTTGACGAGAGATTCTAGATCAGGGGTACAAACAAGCCGGTGTCCTACGTGCCCCAGAACAGTCATAGAACCACTTTTATTTTCTTCATCAACCTCTACACTTACTACATCCTGAAAATAAATTCAAAGAAATAATTTTTAAGTACAGTACTTAATTAACAATAAAATGTAAATTACACTAAAGGGAGGTGACCATTCACACTAGGTTGTGCCTTTTATATAGATGTGACCTTGACTTTTGACCCTGAAAACCTAGCTCTCGGAGCTGTCACATTCTTGTAACCACTGTTTCACACGAGCGTGAAACCATTGAACCTAAAGTATTTGGTAGCACCAGCAGTCACTCAGAATTCTTTTATGAAATTATTTGGTGGGTGAATGTTTGGCATGCAGAATAATTGATATATAGGCTGCATGGCAACACATCAATGTGGAAAGACTAGAATTTAAGGGGCCTTTATTTTGGAAGATGTGGTGACCACACCTGAGTCTGGCGAGATGTAGAGGTCTCCCATTTCTCCAAGGAGAATAGTATCTGAGATGAGGACATCTTGTCAAGTTGTTCAGTATTGTATTACATTTGGTGAGAGCCTTTTGCTGGAGGAGGTAGAAAAGTTGTGTTTGTGAATGATTTTGAAGTCTGCTGACTGTTGTGCTGAAAACCTGGACATAAGTATCTATCAGTAAAAATTACCTATGTTCTATTGGATAAACAGGGATTTACTACAACGAGTCTCGGCTTAAAATTCCAAGTTAGGTTCCTAGAACCCTGTATTGCTGAATGTTCTGACTAAACTAACACCTGCAATGATATAAAAGGAGAGGAATTTTACTAAATGAGAAACTAAGAACCTTACATTCTTACAGTTTAAATATCCAAACAATTAAGCTCTTTTTGTTTATCTCCAACACCTCTATGTAAGAAGCTTCATATGTGAAGACGAACCATGACCCTTTATTGTAATAAAGATAAGAAAATGTCAGTGAAAAACTATAAAAATAAACAATTACTGAAACCAGGTGAAAACATTACAGTGGTCCCTCCATTAACGAGCACAATTGGTTTCACAGAGTCACTCGTTCACTGAATATTATTTCAATGGGATATTGGGTAATTGGTTCCAACTCACAGAATTCCCTTTAAATTAATTAATAGGTACATAAAAAGTACTGCATACCAGTAATAGAATTAACAAAACATTAAATATAAACAAAATACTGTACTGTACAGTATACTGTACAATAATAAATAAAAAACAATAAAATATTCTAACACTTACTTTGAAGTGTGTATGTAGAATGTTGCTGGTTGAGTTGAAAGGTGGAGGAGGGGAATTGGAAGTGGGGGGTGGAGAAGGGAAAAGAGAAGCATTTTAATGCTTCTTGGAAGGCAAATCACCTTCCACAATAATGTCAGAAACCTCTGGGGTGACAGATTCTCTTTACATGAAAATCCTTTGTCCTCCTTTTTGGAGAGGAAGACCGAAGGGATCTTCTTACTCACGCTGCCTTTTAGAGAAGAAGCTGTCAAGTGTTTGTTGTGTGGCACTTCTCCTCCTGCTGATTAACTGCTTCTTGAAGGAGACCACTTTGTCCTCCATGGCACAAAACATAGGTTCTGTTGTTTCCACATCAGGGTGCCTTGAAGCCAATTTTCTAAACATCTCCCAGTAGTGAATGACATCTTTTAAGTCTGAAGTAGACATATGGTCATCACTCACCCTTTCCTCCTCACCACTGTCTGTTTCAATCATCTCATCCAGTTGTTTCAAATCTTCAGGAGGAAGCTTGTGACTGACCAATGGACACAATATCTTTGTCCAATTCTGCTTATTTCTGAAATCCCTCTAAATCATGGACTGCTGATGGCTACAGTGCTCTCCATGCAGAATTCAGGCATTGAGCAGACTTCTTGCCATGCTGACACGATCAATTTTACAACCTCCAGGATGTTGTACTGCGTCTTCCAGAACTGTGCCAGTGATAGATCAGGATCAGTGGCAGTTGCCTGATGACACTTTCTAAACATCTACTTCATATACAGCATCTTGAAGTTGCTGATGACATTTTGGTCCGTTGGCTGCATAATTGATGTAGTGTTGGGAGAAAAAAAAAACTTTAACAAAGTCAAATTGGGCCTCCAAAGTGTTGGGAAGATCAGGGTCATGACCAGGGGTATTATCCATAAGGAGAAGAGCCTTTAAAGGAAGTTTATTGGTGGTGAGGTAATTCTTCACAGAAAGGCACTGCCCATTCATTAAAGAGCTGCCCAGTCACGCATGCCTTGCGATTCGACTTCCAATAAACTCCAAGTTGTCCTCTGATCACCTTTTGTTGCTTGAACACCCTGGGTTCTCAGTGGTATATGAGCATAGGCTTCAGTCTGGAATCCCCTGAAGCATTGGCACCAAGCAATAGAGTGAGACGGTCCTTCATGGGTTTATGCCCCGGTAAAGTAGCTTCGTCTCTGGTGATGAATGTCCTTTTGGGCATTTTCTTCCAGAACAGCCCGGTTTCATCTACATTAAAAACTTGCTGTGGTAGATAATCCTCTTCACCCACCAGTTTCTTGAAATCTGCTAAAAAAATTTCAGCTCCTCCTTTATCTGCACTTGCAGCTTCACCATGCCTAACATTATAAATGCCAGTTCTTCTCTTAAACTTATCGAGCCAGCCCTTGCTGGCCTTAAAATCTTCAAACACAGTTTCAGAACAACTAGGTTGATCTTCCTTCAAATGTTCATAAATATCCCTGGCTCTTTCACAAATGAATTCAGTAGAAATGGATTCGCCTTTCATTTATTTTTCTTTAACCCAAATAAGAAGTAACCTCTCCGTTTCTGCAATCAGCGATCTACCTTTAAACATTCTGGGAGATTTATCTCTCACTTTCACCGATTTAAATTTGTTTTTCTGTGCAATAATTGTAGACACAGTCGATGATGACATGCCATATTCTTTACAGAGTGCATTGGTTCCAATGCCTTCTTCGCATTTCTTATAATTTATTGTTAAACTTGAATCGAAATCGCCTTCCAAGATTTCTTCAGACCCATGCTTGTTAATTTCACCAATAAAATTTTAAGTTAACAACAATTTATTTAACCAATTCTAGATTTTTTTTTTATTTAAACCAACACTGCACTGTATATTATCAGTATGTTAACTAAATTTCAAAATGACCAATAATTTTAATGTAAAAATGCAAAAATATTCAAGAGCACAACTTTCTCGATGTTTACTCCACTGAAAACAAATGTAAACAGAGAACCGAATATTGGCGGATGAGTCGATCAGCTGATGCGAGCACCAAATCGTGTTTCTCATTAGGCTGCCGTTAATAGAACTGAAAGACCTTACGGGAAGTACTCGTTAACTGAAATCTCATAAATTGAACCACTTGTTAATGGAGGGTCCACTGTATTCTCATTCAATCTTTCTGAAATCAACTAAATCTCCCTCTGTTCAAAGACTTTTGGAGGAAACCAGACCGGCAGAAACTCAATCGCCTGCTCGCCGATGGTGAATGGAGAATCCTTTGGTTGAGTTAAATTTTACATTTACTAGCTCGCTGGACACAATTTTATATTTACTAGTGTGCCAGACACATGGTAATTTTGCCACATTCGAAAATTAAAGTGTCTAATATTGTAAAGTACAGTACACTTACTTTGAGGTGTGTATGTAGAAGGTTGCTGCTTGATGATGATGATGGGAATTAGAAGTGGGGGTGGAGGAGAAGGGAGAAGAGAAAGAAGTGGGGATGGAGGAGAAATCACCTTTCAGGGGACCCATGCTTGATGCAGTAATTTCACCAATAAAATTTTAAGTTCACTAGGTGTAGTTCAAGATTATTTTACTTAAATCAACACTGCACTGTGCTATATATTATCAATATGTTAACTAAATTTTAGAATGACCAATAATTTTAATGTAAAAATGCAAAAATATTCAAGATACCAACAAAATCGATGTTCACTCCACTGTTAACAAAGCCAAACTGACGCCTGGTGGCTGAGTCAAGCGGCTGATGGGCGCACAAAAAACTAGTTCCCTGTACTGCATACATTATCAATATGTTAATTAAATTTAACAATTACTAATAATTTTAATATAAAAATTGCAAAAATATTAAAGAGCAAACTTTCTTGATATTTACTCCACTGGAAACGAATGTAAACATAGAACAGATTACTGAATTGGCAGACTAACCGATCAGCTGATCCTCACAACAAAACATGTTTTTCGTAAGGATTTCGTTAATCAAAGTTTAGTTCGTTAACCGAGGGACCACTGTATGTATGTATGTATATATATATATATATATATATATATATATATATATATATATATATATAGTAACCCGGGATGTTTAGATTAAGATCTTTACACATGATTTTATCAAGATTTATCTTATCCACGTTTTCATTGTGGATATATATATATATATATATATATATATATATATATATATATATATATATATATATATATATATATATATATATATATATATATATATATATATATATATATATATATATATATATGGGTATATATAATTTTACAATGAAAATATTATCTCATAAGCAAATGTATTTACAAATTACTATACCCATTCCTATATCAATAATAATTATGAGTGGGTACATTCACTGCAGCCACCTGTATACATTTTGTCTAACAACTTTCATCCAATCACTTCGAATGTGAGATATTTGTGCAACGTAAACCCATAATTTGGAAAATATTTTGGGCTAGTAAAAATTTGTGGGCTATTGGTATTTGAAAATTTACAAGTCCAATGGGCTAGTGGAAAATTTATAGATTCAGCAGGCCTGGGAAATCTAAGATAATTGTCAATATGTACTGTAATGAGATACTGTATGAAGAAAAATATTGGTGATTTCTACTGCATATTTTCACCTCAGCTACAAAAATATACAAAACCTTTTACTTACTTGTAAAAATCCCACTTGAGTCCCTTTGTTAACAGTAAGTTTGTGGTCTCCAAGCCATAATTCTGTTCTGCCAGATTTATATATCTTTAGAGTTCCAATCTGTCCTTCTGGTAAAGTATTTAGTGTACAGTACTGACGACTGGACCTCTTCTCTTCGTCTTCATCTAGTTCCTTTAAAAGTACAAAGAATATTTTTGTTCAAGAATATTTACTACAGTATATTATACAGTATTTAACTTAACTCTAATTTTCCCTCTAAAATTTAAACCGTAAACTTATATACAATAAGTGCATTTCTGGGCTGAAAAAATTCACAATAATCTTACTAAGTTGTTAGGAGCTGTCTGGCTTTGTTGCTGTGCTGTATTTTGCGATCGAGTACCACTGGATTCTTGCTTAATTTCTGGTGGATGACTGGGAAGAGAGTTTGGCAGCTAGAATAAAAAAAACATAATATTAGAAGACATGAAAATTTTTCTCTTAATTAACTGAAGGACAAATAATCTTGAATTACACCTAGTGAACTTAAAATTTTATTGGTGAAATGACGGCATCAAGCATGGGGTGACTTCTCTTCCACCCCAATGCCTTCTCTTCTCCCTTCTCCTCCACTCCCATTCTAATTCCCATCATCATCATCATCATCATCAACCAGGAGCCTTCTACATGCACACCTCAAAGTAAGTGTACTTTACTGCATTTATTTTTAGTTTGTATGTAATTTTCGGTGAGCTGGAACCAATTACCCAAAATCCCATTGAAACAATGGTTTCGGTTAACAAAAGACCTTCTGGAACGAATTGTGTTCATTAACCGAGGGACCACTGTACTGCAATTATGTTAAATAAGTGTTAAAATGACTAAAAATTTTAATATAAAACTTGGAAAATTATTGAATAGTACAACCTTCTTGACATTTACTCAAATGTGAACGAATTTAAGCCCTAGAACCGATTACTGTATTGGCGGACTAATATTCCAGCTGGTGAGCAAGCGAAAACATGTTGACATGATTTCTTAAAAGTTTCGTTAACCGAATTGAAGATTCTTATGGAGGGTAATTCGTTAACCGAGGCGTTCTTTAACCGAGGGATCACTGTACTGTCAACATTGAACTAAAGCGGTTTTGGAACCTTTCGTGTTTTTGCATTGCTTTGTGTGTTTGCCCTTGCAGTATGGCCCCTAGATGCAGAGGTGCTGCTAGTGGTGGTAGCACACCCAAGAAAAGTAGAAAAGTGATGACATTAGACAAGAAAATAAAGATTTTAGATTGGTCATGTGATGGAGTGCTAGTAGCAACACTTGCCTGTGAGAACCCCAGCCATCAACATCATCTGCCGATCTGAAGCCGATGATCCATCAGCTTAAGAAATAAATGTCATTCCAGTTTCATCATCATCAAAGTCTTCATCAATCACTGTCATCAGAAGGCCTCACAACACCTACAGTTATATTGTCATCATAGTTACACTACAATCATCTAATATTTTTAATTTTTCAATGGTATCTTAGTTCTATTATCATCATATTTGTACTTTATGTAAATGTTTAAAAATTATGCATTTCATGTGATAAGAGACCATATGCAGCCACAATCCCGCCACCCCATTTTTCCCATAAGAAGTTAAGTTTGCCCAACATGCAGTTTTCAAGGAACCTAACCCCCGCGTATGGCAAGGGTTTACTGTATACATTAGTACATATATAGGTTCTTCCCTCTTGTCAGCCTTAGGCCCCTCACAACCTTAAATCAGCCCTGGTTACCCAACATTGCTAAAGGTGACAGCTGCGTGATACCTCATGGGGTGAATCCCGGCTGGAGTTCAGGTGATGTGGGTCAGGAGGTGATGTGAGTGTGAGTTTACCTGTGACCTTACCCAACCCACAGACTCTACTCTGATTATCTCATCCCTGGGGATGGCTTGTCAAACCTGCCACTAAGGTATGGAACGTGACAGCTACGGTCAGAAGGTGGTGGGTCATGCAGATTAACACTGACAATGATATCACATTACCGACATGTCAATTGTTTGATCGATGCATATGATACCTTTACATCGGTCAGAGGTTTTTGAGCGATGCAAGTGCATCGGTTACATCAGCCTGGATCCGGCCCCGATAATGAACCTATATACCTGACATTACTTGTATTTTCATAAATTATGATTTTAACTTAAAGCCCATTGTCTACGTAAATACAGTAGAACGTCGATTTAACGCGATTCAATTTAAGATTATTGATTTAAAGCGACACCCACAATTAAGGACATTGGTTTAATTTAAAGCGAATCTTTCCTATTTTGCATGAGTCAATCTGGCGCATCATATTTTAAAATTTGTGCCAAATGTTTCTCTGGGCACGCTACACTGTCCTAAGGGCAAAGCTGTGGTGTACATGTACTCAAAATAATGTACTAAATGATTACTAAAATTTTTGTCTAGTGCAACTTTAGCATGATTATATTCAAATTACCGTATATACTCGTCTATAACCCCCCTTCGTATATAGGTCGACCCCGATTTTTTGACCAAGAAATCGTTAATTTATGATATTCCTCGTTTATAGGTCGACCCAAGTTTTTGAGGGTAAAGGAACAACAAAACCTTCAGAAAAACACTACATCCTATAAACTTGTTTACCATTTATTATTACGACACTTTACACTGAAACGCGGGTAGTTTCAACAAAAATATTGTATATTTCCATTCAGGTATTTATTCAAGTCAATTAGGAGGGAATATTATTGTAATACAATAGTTTTTTAACTGAAAACCATTCGAAAAGCGATTACGGTAACATGTTTTGAACGAAAGAAAGCAAAAGTCATTGTTTTCGACACAATTTTATCCCACTTTCCACTGTAATACGTACGTCATTTCAGCAAAAAATATTACATTTCCGTGAATGTATTATATCAACCACAGTATAAATAGAATATCACTAATTTAACAGTATTTTAACTGAAAACTATTAAAAAAACGAGTAACATATCTTGAACATCGGAAGGTTTGGTAAAGTCTTTTGTTTTCATCATGTAGTTTATCCTAATTTACATTGAAATACATCATGTTTCGGCAAAACTACTATTTATTTCTGAGAATATGGAAATGTAATATTTTTGCTGAAATGACGTACGTATTATAGTGGAAAGTGGGATAAAATCATGACAAAAACAATTACTTTCGCTTTCTTTCGTTGAAAGGATGTTACCGTAATTGCTTTTCGAATGGTTTTCAGTTAAAAACTGTTGTATTACAATAATATTCTATCCTAATTCACTTGGGATGTAACAGTTTTTTAACTGAAAACGATTCGAAAAACACGTGTACCGTCTAGCTGATACGGTAGAGCCCTGGTCGCGGAGGCTTTGTTTGCATCGGCCCTTCTTAAGCAGCTTTTAATTTTAGCGTACGTTGAAATTGTGTTTACCGGTATATTCTTATTTTCTTGCTTCTTATTTTCCAGAAATATGACAAGTTTGTATATAATACAATGTTACAGTACTTTTAATTTACAAGTATTCATTTTTAAAAATACAGAAGACACCAAACAATTACCAGTACTACGGTTATTTGCGTGACTCTCCTGCCAAAAAAGACCAAACAGCTGGTACTCTCTCCCTCAGCCCTACCAAAAATAGCCCAACGACATCTTTCTTGTTTATTCTCTTCCAATTTCTCACTTTCACTGGTATTTTTTACTTCATATTGCCTACATCAGATAAACTACAGTAATTGAGGTTAGACACTGTTATAAATTTGATTACCGGGTCCTGGCAGGTGCCGTTAGAACCACCTGATCCTACCAACAGTGTTGCAAGTCAGACAGCATTTTTTTAATCATCCATGTGCACGAGAAAGGATGGATGGATGAAGGTGGCATACAAATATGGCTTAAAAAAGTCTGGAACTTTAGACCAGGGGGACTGCGCAAAGAAAAAAGTCTTTTTGTGTGGGATATGTTTCGGTCACATCTTGTTGACAGTGTTACTGCTGGGATTAGGAAGGAAAACACTGATACAGCTGTGATTCCTGGTGGATTAACAAGTCTTGTCCAACCACTGGATGTTTCCATAAACAAACCATTTAAAGATGCGGTAAGAGTGAAGTGGAACAACTGGATGATAGAAGGCGATAAGACATACACAAAGGGAGGCAACATCCAAGCTCCATCACTAGCAACATTATGTGAATGGATTGTAGAGGCCTGGGATGCAATCAGACCAGAAATTGTGGTGAAATCTTTTAAGAAATGTGGGATTTCGAATGCTCTTGATGGAACAGAAGACGACTTGTTCTGGGATTATGAGGCTAATGAGAGTGTGAATGAGGATGAAGATATTGATGATCCTATGGCTGATGATAGTGTTGATCCATATGACGATGCTGTTCAAGGAGAGGACTGGGAGGAGCTGTTTGGTGCTGCAGATGATAAGGAAAATGATTTTGATGGATTTTAATGAAAATATTCAGAAATATGGTATCGTAGTATTTATTCAAGTCAATTAGGATAGAATATTATTGTAATACAACAGTTTTTTAACTGAAAACCATTCGAAAAGCGATTACGGTAAAATCTTTTGAACGACGAAAGAAAGTGAGTCATTGTTTTCGTCACAATTTTATCCCACTTTCCACTGTAATACGTACGTCATTTCAGCAAAAATATTACATTTCCATATTTATTTCTGAGAATATATTCATTCAGGCACAGTTAAGGTAAAATATACTTGTGATGTAATATTTTAATGAAAATATTTATAAATAAGGTATCGTATTTTTCTTTTGTTTCAAATTTAATTAACAACGATTGATGTTTCAAATTTAATTAACAAAAATTTATGTATCTATAAATAAAATTTTAAAAAAGAATACTTTATGTTTTACATACTCCTGTGCATACCATACCATGCATTTGGCTACTTTGGGCTTGCTATGATGACGCAAGAGATCTGCCCTGGCAACTGTACCGACACTCACAGCGGGCGGTGCGTTGGTGCGTCGTTTCCATTGTTTACTGGTAGTTACTGGTAAATATTTTTCAACCTAACGAAACTATTACCCGTATAGAGGTCGACCCCAACTTTTTGCCAAAAAATTTGGTCTTAAGAACTCGTGCTATACACGGGTATATACGGTAATCACTATCTTATAAGAATTTCCAGCAATGTACATTATATTCTCCCTGATCACTTCTGTGACGTTTTATAAACAACAAACAAAAACTCAATCTAAAAAACATAAATAAACAAATAAATACTTCACCAGACCTTCCGCCCCAACTGTCAAATGTGTCACTTCCCCCCCCCCACCCCCCCATCTTCCCAGCCAGGGTTGGGTGGTCATAGGCTTACAGTTTTTATCTTATATAATAACATAGACTAAGTTAGGAGAATATAATTTGCATTGCTAGAATCCTTGCGAGACAGCGAATAATTTGAATATAAACGTCATACACTTTGCACAAGAGATAAAAATTTTAGACCTTTGTAATAAAATTAATTATAACATGTCAGTTCAGTGACATTTTATAAGAGAAAAACTTAGTTACTCTTAAGGACAAATAAATAAATAAGCACTAGACCTTGGCATCAGCTATCAAACATATTTCCTCACCTCCCCCCCCATCTTCTCATCAGCTGATTGCTAGTAAACAGACCATTTCATGTCCCATAATTTTAGCTGTGTTGATATATGAGTGTTTGTTTTAACATAATACTGTACTACAAAAAACAATGTTTTGTTTATTCTAGGAGATGGGCTGAGGGGCACCTGGGTAGACTCAGTCTTTTTAGTATTTTGTGTTTCTCTCAAGTACCAAACTAAATTATTCCATTGAAACACCACTTCAATTTAGTGCGAATTCGGTTTAAAGCGACCTCTCCTGGAACGTATCTCGTGTTATATCGACGTTCTACTGTAGTAAAAAAGGTTATGAACACATTTTATGCATAAACCATAATGTGTGTCATACATTAGTTTTTCATAAAATCAGAACAGGATTCATCCTACAGTAACTAGATTTGTTTTTTACTGTCATAATCATACATAAAATATCTTATCATCTTTGAAGAAACTATGTGATTATGCATGTGTGGCCCCAAACCCACTCATCCACACCCACATACAGTACAGTACAGTACTCCCTCTTTATCGACGGGGGTTACGTTCTGTAGACGGCCGTCGATAAAGAAACCGTCGATACCGTGATGGTTACGTAATTTTTCTAACTATTATTAGCATATGTTGAATAAATGTACCTTTAAGCATTAATGCGTTTCCTTTACACATAACCTTAAATAATAGTGTATAAATAATAATATAATAAGTGGACAAAAATACTAGCAAACTTACGATTTCATTTATTGAAGTGAACATCGGTCCTTACAGTAAACAATACAGTGTACAGTATATACAAGTCACGCCACTAGTGCCGCCTAGCGGCGAAAGTACAAACAAGGCCCGCAGAGTTCAAATAAAGCCAAAATAAAAATCCGTCTAAATAATCCGTCGATAATCGAAACCGTCGATAAAAAATCCGTCGATAAAGAGGGAGTACTATACAGGCAAAAATTAATTTACATGACTTACCTGAAAAAACATGAAGTCTTCATGCTTTCCAGCTAAAAGTTGGGCAACAGAAAGTTCTGGAGCTTTTTCTTTAGCTGGTAAACCTCCCTTCACTGTGACTTTTCTTACTGCCAACTGCAAAAAAAAAGCAGATTGAGAATGAAGTACTGAATGACATAAAGAAACTATGGCGCTAATAGACATGGATAAGGAGCGATTACTTTACACACACACAATGAATAGGAGAAGGAAAGACGTGGGCTTGTGGGAGATGTGGGAGGGAGGGGGTATGATTAGTGAGCGAGAATACGTCTCTACAAGATGGCCGCACCAGCTGACTCCTGAAGTGTGAAATTTAAATTTTTGCCCAGAACCCAAATTTGCTTAAGCGGGGTAAGCTTTCATATCCTGAAATACTGTAATGGCGCCAATTTAGGAAATTCCTATAAGCGAATATTCGTTTCTTGGGGGATAACTGTACGTATTCGGTTATAAAACAAGTTCTGGCACCATGGACGAGTGTGTTGTTTTGAAAATCAATCACTTATGGAGTTCATCAGCAAAACATAGATGTTACAATTGTGTAGCTACTAACCAAACTGGAGTTATCACTGATAGTACACTATTACACAAAGCTTGCACTATTTTATACGACTAGTTTGGCAGGTATTAAAATCTCCCAACCAAAGACCATATGCATATTGGGTCTGAGGATTCATAGGATGGTCTACAGTTGTGGTATGAAGGCAAGTGAGCAATCATTTGCAAAGAAAAGGATCATTAGCATCTGACCCAATGAATGGTCAGATGAACAACCTAAGACACTAATGTTGGCATTAGAAAAAACTGTGACCAAACCTTTACATTCTTGGTTTCCAGTGTAATATCTTTGATAGCATTGTCTACTGCAGTCATGTCCTCAGTGGACTCTGCTGGTTCACATTTTACTGTGAAAAGAAAAGAAAAAAATCAGCCATATACTGTACTTCACAGACATACACAGGATGACTTATATTTCAATTCTCTTCAAGTCAGGGACACAAGGGCACAACAAAAGAGGAAAATGTTTCAGTACAATATTGCTGAAAACAAGAAGACTAAGGAAAAAATTAACAAAATACAGTGAACCCTCACTTTACGCAGTCAATTGAACCCACGGAGGCCCGCGTAAAGCGAGAAACGCGTAAAGTGAACAACATAACATATGGGATTAAATGAAATAGAGACCAGCTGACCCCCAAACTCCACTTTTTCCGACACAATACCTATGTTGTAGTAAAAATAACATCTTAATTTTATGATGGTACATGCACACAATTAATACTTAAGAGAAATACAGTCGCCAGGTTAATGTCCATTCAAATAATGGACTCAAATTCCCCGCCCCCCCCCTTCTTCCCAGCTCACTAGCTCCTACCTCTCTGAGAAATGTTTGGGTGAAAACACTAGATTTTAACGTTTAGTAATAAATAATACCTCAGACTAAAGTTAGGATAATATAATTGACATTTCTGGATTCCTTGCAGGTCAGGGAATATTTTGAATGTAAACTTCATATATTTTGCACAAAAGATAAAATATTTGCTTTGTGTAAACCAATTTATTGCATTAGATCTAAAATTTGTATGTCTAATGAAAAATCTATGATGTTTATATTCAAAATGATCATCAAATTGTAAGAATTCCAGCAATGTAAATTATATTCTGGCCGGGTAATTTGTATGAATTTTATGAGCTAAAACAAATATCTTCAGTTAATAAAAAAAAAAAAATAATCTTCACGACACTATCTGTCAATCAAAGTACCCCACCTTGCCTCCCCCCTCTTCCAACCTCGCCAGATGGTCGGTCGGTCGGTCCCTCCCTCCCCCCACCAACCGTCCCTACCAGAGAAATATGTGGGAGAAACCAGAATATTTACCTTTTTAGTAATAAATAATACCTCAGACTAAAGTTAGGATAATATAATTGACATTGCTGGATTCCTTGTAAGACCAGGAATATTTTGAATATAAATGTCATATATTTTGTACAAAAGATCACATATTTACTCAGAGTAAACAAAATACTTAAAGTAGATCTAAAATTTGTATGTCTAATGCAAAATCTATGATGTTTATATATTCAAAATGATCATCAAATTGTAAGAATTCCAGCAATGTAAATTATATTCTGGCCCGGTAATTTGTATGAATTTTATTAGCTAAAACAAATATCTTCAATAAATAAACAAAATATACTTACCGAAATACTATCTGTCAATCAAAATACCCCACCTCCCCCCCTCTTCCCACCTGCTCCCTGGGTCCCTCCCTACCCCTCACCCCCACCTTCCCTCCCTACCAGAGAAATGATCGGGTTATAACAGTATATTTACATTTTTAGTAATAAATAATACCTCAGACTAAAGTTAGGATAATATAATTGACATTGCTGGATTCCTTGCAAGACCAGGAATATTTTGAATATACACTTCATATATTTTGCACAAAAGATAACATATTTGCTCTGAGTAAACAAAATACTTGCATTAGATCTAAAATTTGTATGTCTAATGCAAAATCTATGATGCTTATATTCAAAATGATCATCAAATTGTAAGAATTCCAGCAATGTAAATTATATTCTGGCCGGAAAATTTGTATGAATTTTATGACCTAAATAAAAAAATTATACTTCACCCGCGTATATGAGTAGATGCACCGCGTAAAGTGGGAATTCCGGTTCTGGCAGGGCACCGCGTAAATGTAAAAACGCGTAAAGTTAAGCGAGGGTTCACTGTACAGTAAAATGCAAGAGGAACAAGAATTTCAACCTCATCAAATAAAAAGTTCTAGCAGGTCCTGTGTGACTCAGAAAAAAAAGACAGCCAGGTAAATCTCCTAGAAATTTGGCAAATGAATATACAAAATAATTAAAGTCTTTCTCTGTGATGGAAATCAAGAGAAGTAATGAAAATGAAATGTTTATATCTGAGAATTGCAGATACAAGGCCATTCCTTCATGTAGTAATATGTATTACAAACCTTCAATGCCTTCTGATAAATTTGGAGACATTTTTGGCTTTACTTCTGTTGTATCTTTTCCGTCTTCTTCCTTAAATACCAGTCCAGTGTCCACCATTGGTAATTGTACAGGAAACAAGTCACCATCATTATCTCGCCCGATGACGTCTTCCAGGTCATCAATAAAGTCATCCCGCAAGATCTCCTTTAATTTTTGGTCTTCATGTTCCTGCAAATATAAAAGCTACCCTGTTAATACCTTAGTCTAGTTGACTGAACAAATCTGCTAACTGTAGCATTATGCTATTAGTGACAAAGTACAGGTTACTTTATATTATTCTCCTTCATTGGAATAAACAAGAACAATCAGTAAAGAGACCAAAATTATAAAAACATGAACTAAGTTTCATATCAGGAATTGACCAGCACAAAAATACAATGAATGATCTGTAAATAAGCCTTTTATATTTACCTTCTGCTTTGTGAGTTAATTATTTAACAGATTTTTTTTGTTTGTGTATGCATGCAGCAGGACAGATGCATGTTGTGCTAAAAAAAAACTCCCTAAAACTAAAATTTGATTTCCAAGAAAGAGAGTAAACAAGAAATTTAAGTATGTACAGTAGAGTAATTTGAAGACAGGTGCATGTTTGCTGAATCCTAAGTAATATTATAAACTTACCTTATCGATGTTGTTAACAGTGTCCAGATTAAGGACAGGCTTGTGTATGAAGCCAGGTTCCCCAGACTTCCCTGCACCACTACCACCTCCTCCAACTCCATAGCCACCCATCATCCCACGTCTTTGAGGAGCTGCTGCAATTCCTAAAATGTGTTGAAAAGGAGTGTGACTTCTAAAACTTGATACTGTATAAGTTACTTAATGTAGAGGTGAGATTCTTGTAGACTAAACACTAGAAATCTAAATTTTCATTCAATGATGTCTTACATATTTGTGATCTACAGATAAAATGGTACTAGAAAATCAAAGGTAACATTTTTCCCCATGACACATTTATTCTTTATGTGTGGCTAACAGACTAAGGGTAAAGAAAATCTGACTTGTTTCAAACTGTACCTTCACCGAAGAGGGAACCTGTAGTCTGGACATACTCTCTTCCACGACCTCTTCCTCTACCTCCCTCCTTTTTATCACGTTCACGATTACGCTTTGGTCCTTTATCTGAGCGAGAGTCTCTGTAACAAAGATAACTTCTTTGAATACAGTTCTGTACTACACCAATATAAATTACATTAAAAAGAATACACATTTTATGATTTTTTTTAATGATTCATAACTGTCATGTTTTGAGACAGCAAATTTTAAAAAGACTTTATCTTTTTGTTGAACATCTAGGCCTAGGGACATGAAATGCAAAATTAATAAGTCTAAATACTATGAAAATGCCTGTTAACTTGACTGCAAGGGCCTAAGGTCTGCCATACAATTCTCATAAGTACTGTATACAGAACAATACTAAACTAATTATGGAATTTATGTCATCTTATTTGTTTGTATCCACATACACTGCACTAAAATGCCAAGTTTTGTCAAAGTTCACTTCTACTTGTTTCAAGTTAACACGTTCAAAAGATGCCCAGATGTTAACAATGTTAACTTCAAACTTTCTCTTCATAATTTAACAAAATCAAATCATTTTTGAGACATTTTCTTAACATTACACTTTTGAACTACAGTACAGTCCCTAAAATTGTTTCATAAAACTGGCCCAATCACTGAATAATGTCTGTGACAGATCCTTTCTTCATATTTTTCTCTAATATCACACCTACCAAGGTTCATCAAAACTGGTAAGCCTCTTTTTGAGATATAGTACTGTGCTCACAGACTTATAAGTTTTATGTTAAAACAAAGTACTGTAAGTTTAATCAACTCTATTTTTCAAACCAATAGGATCCTCCCAATCAGTGCACTTGAAAATTATATTGATAAATCTACTTACAATACTTTCTCATTTTTTCCTCTTCGAACAGGTATATTTGGTGAGAATGTTTTGCGAGTCCTCGTCATAAGGGAGGGTTTTACGGGAGTAGCAGAGGATGACGCAGATAGAGTGAGATCTCGTGGGCCACGGAAAGAAGGTAGACGAGCAGACATGCTACTGCTTGATCCAGGAGTAGTACTAGAACCAATAAGGTTCAATTCACTGGCTCTACCTATTCCCGGTCTTTTTGCAAAGGGATTCTTCACCTCCCCATTCTGTTCTGCCATCTGCAAAGGAAAAGTAAAATTATTTTCTTGTCTTAGAAAAAATTTACACACAGATATCCCTTGAGATACAGTACAAGAATTCGCTTATACAAATTTCCTAAATTTACACCCCGCTTATATGAATTTGGGTCCCTGCAAAAATTCAAATCATGCACCCCGAGGAGTCAGCTGGGGTGGCCACATCCCCCTTAAACTCTCCTTACCAGAAGTTATGTTACGGTTATCTATCAACTCGTAATTTCAGGTACATACCAGTAAACAAAAATTTTTCTTATTTTTTTCATTCAGTTACATACTAATAACGGTTTACACCAGCGCTCTCTGTTTACATCATGTGATCAGTTGAATCGCGTGGTTTCTGTCAATTACTCCGTGATTTTCGCTATTTTCTCCAATTTTGTTGTTACGATGAATACAGAAAGACAAGGTAAGAAGAATGTTTCCAAGAAGCGTTCTGGTGATCGAATTGCCGGTGGTGAACGTAAAAGAGGTTTACAAGAACGCAACTATCGCGTTGCAGCCCGCGCCATCCTAGCGACCACCCGGGCTGTTAATGTGTGCTTTTTTTGGGTGGTGCTACCACCTGTCGAGTCAAGATAAGGGCCTCTACCTCTACTAGTGCTGGTGGGACAGACCCACCTAAGCGGCCAAATAAGGAAAAGAAGAAGCGGGGATATCATAAGGGAATTAAGTTTGCCAGGTACTCGATGCAGGATAAGCAACGTGTGATTAAATTACTTGAGGAAGGCCTAAAAACTAGTTTCCAGAAAGCACAATCAAGTCAATAAAGGCAGAATTTGTATAATTTGGAGGTTATAAATTTGAAAATCAGAGGCTGATGTTGAGTGGCCAGTCTATATTGTTATTTTTCCCATTACCTGTAGTTTATGTATTTGCATTTGAAGAATTTGAATTTGGAGCAAATTTTCCAGTCTATATTACTCGTGAAATACAAGATCTTACTATAAAGGTACTCCTCGACTTACGACCGCCGCAGTCGTACAAAAAATAAAAGTTCAAATTACGTATTTTCGAGTCCCGACGTAAGTGACTGCGCTGTGTACTGACAAATTTTTTTTTTAATTCCCTTTAAAATTGGCAGGCGTAAAAGTGAGAGTTCTCGTGGTGCTGAGAAGAAAAAGAGACACCCAGAAATTTATGTAAATCTATCCAAAAATACAGTTGACAAAATTATTCGTTATTAAAATGTACAGTACTATGTACTAAAAATTTTATCTCTTCTGCAAAATATATGACATTTATATTAAAATTAATCACTAATTCACTATCTTATAAGAATTCCAGCAATGTAAATTATATTTTCTCCGGTCACTTCTATGACATTTTATAAGCAAAAAACAAAAACTCAATCTAAAGGACATAAATAAACAAATAAATACTTCACTAGACCTTCCGCACCAACTCTCACCTCCCCCTCCAGGGTTTGGTAAGTCTCTCCTCGACTTATGATGGGGTTCCGTCCCGATGACCAGGTCGTAAGTCGTATTGGTCGTAAGTCGAAAAGGCGAAAATAATACAGTATAGAAATTCTAAAATGGGTGTCCCTTTTTCTTCTCAGCACCACGAGAACTCTCACTTTTACGCTTGCCAGCCATTTTAAAGGGAATTACAAACAAAAATTTTGTCAGTACAGAGCACGATCACTTATGTCAGGACTCAAAAATACGTAATGTGAAAAATATTTTATACAATCATGGCCGTCGTATGTCCGGGTTGTCGTAAGTCGAATATGTTGTACGTCGAGGAGAGACTGTATTATAAAGGTGCTTACTAAAGCCTAAGGAAGGAAGTATATTCCTTCAACACATCATCAATATTATTTACACAATATCTGGCCAGTATGGGGAGGATCATCGTGTCTCCGTCAGGGGGTCGTGGAGTGGTGGTCCAATAAGTGTCATGGAAGCATTGTGTGTGGGACATCTCAGGAGATAGTGGACAAGGGTGCGACTGTCGGGTCTTCTGCATAATGCACAAGAGCGTTGCTCAGGGGATGCGGGGATACCAATCTCCCAAGTCATACCCAAAGATGATACAGGCAGCAATCATGTCCCTTTTCCGCAACCGTTTCCCATAGACATACGAGAGGTCAGGAAGTTTATGGAGGACATTGTACCAGGTGGGCGGGGAGTCCAGGGGGCTGGCTGCTTCCCGAGCTTTTCTCTGTTTGCGGTGAATTTGGGTCGTAAGCTGTAAAAGTGTTCGAGGAACAACGTAGTCAGGTGTGACCTTGTTACAGCAAATCTTGGCAAGGCCATCTGCTGCCTCATTCCCCATGATATCGACATGACTGGGTATCCATAGGAATGTCACAGGACGGCCTGCATCCTGAAGTGTGGATGTTAACCCTCGTATTTGGAGGATGGGGTCCTTATTTTCCCCTGATCCAAATGCAATCCCGTCGAGAGCAGACCTGGAATCGCAGTAGACAAGCAAGGGGCAGAAACCAATAGCTTCTTCCTCAGCGAGAAGGGCAGCAAGGAGGGCTATCAGTTCAGCCTGAGTGTAGGATGCCCCGTCAGAAACTCTTGAGAGTTTGATAGGCTCAGGGGCATCAGGAGGGGAGATGGAGACACCAGCCCCGGCCCTAACTGTAGCGGGGTCAACAGAGCCATCAGTGTAGAGAACGACCCTACCTGGGGACCAGTGGGCGATCCTGGAGAGGTGGCATTTGCAGAGAATAACAGGGTTCATGTGGGCTTTTGGGAGCGGTCCACCGAGGGCAATCACTTCAGGTTGAAAGTCCAGCGAGGGAGGAGACTAACCAACAGCAGGGGTGACAACAATATCAGGCAGGAGGTCGTGTTCCTGAAGGGCTTGGATGAGTGACCCTCGCCACTGTCTTCTAGATGGAGGTCGGCCTCGGACAGCAGAGTCAAGTTGGCTTAGAAATAGTTGCCCCGAGGATCTCGTAGAATGGAAACGGTAGTTTTTAGGTAAAACTCCTGGGCACGATCCTGTAAGGGGGAAAGACCAAGCTTGGTATATAGAGAAGTAGAGTGTGTCCACTGAGGGGCCCCAAGGCTGATACAAACAGCTTTCCTCTGGATAACTTCGAGACGGTTGACAGCAGTACGACTAATGTTGACGAGGGCAGGGGCGGCGTAGTCGACACAGGAACGGACAAAGGACTTGTACATGATGAGAAGTACAGGAATGGTGGCACCAAGGGAAACCCTGCACATGGTAGAGAGGGGAGCGAGACCCCGAAAGCCTATGTCTAGAAGATAGCGGACTTCAGGGATCTGACAACGTGTGCGAGTTACATACACACCTAGGTATTTTGTCTCATTAACCCAGTGCAAGGGCATTCTTGATAAGAGAAGGGGAGGGGGGGGGAGGTACAACACGACCGTGCCACTTTGCTTTTGTTTTAGCAGTTGAAAGAAGGAAACCAAGTAAATCACACTCTCTGGAGACCAGATCAAGGGCTTCCTGCATGCTGAGGTAGTCAGGGGCTTGGAGGAGGACATCATCGGCATATCCTGAGTGGACAACTTCTGTCGGCCACGGGAGAGATGCAATGGAGTGCATGAGTTTTAAACAAGGTGGGACTCAAGACTCCACCTTGAGGGGTGCCGAGGTTCATTTCTTGAACAGGAGATATAAAGCCTTCAACACGAACCCGGGCCTGACGTCCAGTGAGGTAAGAGGCGATCCATCGAAGAAGTCTCCCTTTAACCCCTAACAGCGCAAGTTCAGCTAAAATGAGGGCAGGCCGAACTGTATCAAAGGCTCCCTTGATATCAAGGAAGACGGAGTTGCGGGCAGTCTGATTGCAGTAAAGGGAAGCAATGGAGTGTGCTGTGTTGCGATGTTGTATGAAACCAATCAGGGAGTTGTAGAAGCTGCCTATGGTGTGAACTGTGAAGACGACGACAATGGAGTATCCTCTCCATCATCTTGCAAACACAGGAGGTAAGACTAATGGGTCAATATTTCCCAGGATCTCCCGGCTTAGGGATGGGGATAATAGTGGCATATTTCCAGTTAGACGGGAGAACCCCATGTTCATAAGATATATTGTAGAGAGCAAGCAAGGGGCCATTAGGAATATTAGTACAGGTGCTGAGGACGGAGTAGGTTATCTGATCATCCCCAAGAGAGGTGTCTTTTATAGAGCGACGAGTACTGTCAAGCTCGAACTGTGTGATGGGATGATCAGTGAGGGCAGGGGAGGTAAGAGCAGCATGAACAACAGGCTTAGACGCATTGATGCGAGCCTGCACTGCCTCCTGCATCGGATCTGGAAGTGCCTCAAGGGAGGAAGCTCGTGCCCAGTCCTCCATTAAAGAGCAGGCAAGGGAGGAAGGGTCAGGGTGGGGAGGAGACCTCCATCAAGTACTCCGTATAGCATTAATCCAATTCCATAAATAGGAGGGCGATGACTGGAACGATAGAGGCCCCGTGAAGGATAACCAGTCCGCCTGAGTTGCAAAGGAGCACCAGTTTTTTAAGTCTTCCCAGTCCTCTGGAGAGCGAGACCTCCGTATGACAGAGTGGAGATCACGGGTTACCTGCCGGAGAAGTCTCATGGCAGGGATACGATACCAGTAGTTGGTGGCACTTCTGGGGTGACGGGGAGGGCGTGGAGGGGCAGCGCGATTGACAGTCATACACGGCATCAACAAAATCAGCATTGTAAGAGTCAAGGGACTGGGGGACAACATAGGAATCCGCCCAGGTAGAAAGGAATTGGGTAAAGGAAGGAACAGCATCTTGTGCGAGACGAAGGCGAGGGGATCGATAAGGAGCTGATGTAGGGGCAGAGAAGGAGAGCCCGAGATGGGTAGTAACGGCAAGATGGTCACTATACAGAGCAGGCTCGCCGCAGACGGTAAGATGAAAGGGGGTATGACCGTTCAATAGTAAGCCAACATCAAGGAAACTATGGGGGAGGCGAGTAGGATCGCCAGGTCAAAGAAAGCGAACATCATCATCCCCATTAAGAAACTGTGAGAGATGTGATCCGTTAAGGGTACATGGAGTGGGATGATCTGGAGTAAGAGTGGGATGGCGGGCATTAAAGTCGCCAAAAACAATAGTGGGAACCCCATCATAGAGGTCGTGAAGAACCTGGGGGTCCAGAGAATTACCCTTGAAATGAACATTGACTACACGAGTAAGGGAGACAGAAAGTAATTAAGACAGAGGTCCATGTGAGTCAGGTGAAGGGAGACGAACAGATGGAATGGTGTGACGCACAAGGATGAGGAGGCCATGAGCCTACCCATGGTACCGAGGCAGGGTGTAATCAGTATAGCCAAAGAGGTGGAGTGGAGTAACATCGTCTGTGATGGTTTCCTGAAGTAGAGCAACATCTACTTGATGGGAGAGCACAAACTGGGCGAGGTCTGTCCGGCGAGGGCTAAGTCCCTGGATGTTCCATTGTAAGAAGAGGACGGAACGGCCTTCGGTGTGAGATGAAGGGTCGGTGGGGATAGACAGGGTTCCAGAGGAGGTACCAAATTCTGTTGAGGATATTGGAGAGGGAGGAGTGGAAGAGCGAGGGATGGATCCTCCATCTTGGGAGAAAGGAGGCGGCGGGTCACCAGGGCTTGCAAAGTGCACCCCTGTTGGGTCGGGGTGTCCAGAATGAGTTGTTGTTGCCTCTGCAATGTCGCAATTGTCTCCACAAACGAGTTGAGTTGGGCAGAGAGAAGGTTGATTTGCTTGGAGAGGCGATCCAGATGGAGAGTGAGTTTCCATAGAACCAACTTGGTGTACCTGTGCAGGAGCTGGAGGTGGCGGCGAGGATTGGCGAGGGCCCGACTGGGCAGGTGGTGGTGGTAACGACGGAGAGGGACGGTGAGGGTACGGGTGAGCAAGAGGTGGTGGTGCTGGTGAGAGACAGCTGGGGTACGGGTGAGCAAGAGGTGGTGGTTACGATGTGGTAGGGCCGGCAATGACCTTGTTCCAAGAACGGTAGGGAGAGGGAGGGAGGGGAGAAAGGATGGGTGGTAGGGGAGAGGAGATCAATGGGAAATCCTTGGTGGATGGAAGAGGCAGTGGTGGATAGGGGTGAGGTTTGGTTGACAGGGTCTTCGTCAGAGATGAGGGCGGTGGAACAAGGTAAGTCTTCCAGGCCTGGTGACTGCCATGGCAGTTGACACACCGTGGAACAACTGGGATTTTGTTCTGAATTTTTCATTTGCATTCCACTGTGTCGTGAGGACCTGCACATAAACTGCAGGCGACCATCCTCGTGCACTCCCAGGTGCGGTGTTTCCACGATTGGCAATGACCACAGATTTTCGGGGTTCCGATAAATCGGTCGAGAGGACAGTTGTGAATAGGTCTTACATTCACCTTTGGGGAAAGGGAGCCCACCCACCAGTCGATGAGTTCGTTGGATGGACGTTTGGAGACAGGGTTGATGCGGCGCTCCATGTCCAGTAGTTGTGGGAGAAGAGGGCGAAGATCGTCGATAGGGATCTCCCAGGGTACGTGGCGAACCATTGCCTTGGTATGAGTTTTTGGGGTGATGATGGTGAACTTCAGCATCATCTCCCCCTGGGGAGCAGGAAAGCCCACTTGAGTGAGCAGGCGTACCGTCTCGTCCATTTGTGTGGTGACTATTACGGCTGTAGGACCTCGGCAGAGGCGAAGTGTTGAATCCTGAAGTGGAGAGCAGTGATGGAAGAACCAGGTCGTCCGTGTGCTCAGAAGCGAGTCCCGAGGAAAGGCGAGACGACGAAGGCGCGAAGGGGTAGGGAGACGAAGGGAATCCCATATGTCCATCATCAGCGGAGGGTCGGTCATTGAGCCACATGTAAGCTCACTTAGAGACCCCGACGACAGAAGGAGGCCACCCTCTACAGCTCCAGACGGGGTGTGCGGGGGAGCCGTAGCCCCTACTGGAGACCCTGACTTGTGAGGTTTCTGCTTCTTAGACTTGTCTTCAAGAAGAAAGTCATCAGCATCACTGTCACCTACTACCGCCGTCTCCAACAAACGGGAGCGTTTAACGGCGGGCATAAGGCACGTTGGCAACACTGCAGTCAGGTAGATAGTTTGGCTTGTTTGAGGTGGAGTGGTAAAGACGTCACTGCTACGTCACACTTCACATTGCGCAAACTTGAAAATCTTCGACCAGAGGGACCGGGTGGTAGGACCAGATGTTTTTATCAAACAAAAATGACAAAGTCCATACCCCCTCCCCCCCGAAAAAAAAAAATAGATGCCACTGTGCACAGACTGGGATTACCTGTAGTAGACTTGCTGAATTCGTCAGAAATACACCTTTTAAGGAACAGTCTCTTACAGCCTTTGTTGACACTCACGGCACGCATGCGCATTCATCTATCAATATTCATATTTCACAACTGGGTCGAGAACAGCCCAAGTTTCTCATGCCTCACTCCTAACTTGCCATTGTTATGTGTGCCAACAATATTATGAATGAAATTTTGTTATGCAGGTGCATGTCATGTCAAAATTCGTAAAAATTTCCTTCCATGCTCGTGTGCTGTGAGTCTCGAGTGTTGTGGTGGTAAGTCTGCGTCCGATCGCCCAGCCATACCTCAACCCTGGCCTCGGCGAACACACAGCCAAGGGAGTGTCGAAACTTTGGATTGTGACTGTACACACAATCCCACATACATAATGAGCAGCAAAAAAAAAAAATAAAATAAATATATAAATAAAATAAAAAAATATCATAAGGTCAAAAACATTAAGGGAATAAACATTTCTTTGCACGTGAGACAAGGGAGGTAGCGTTGCAGGTCAGCAGAGGCGGCTGGACTGGTTGCTATGGCGAAGTTTGAGGGTGGCCACATGTGAAATATTTATTAAAAGTTTTTAATGTGTTAGTCAGTACAGTAAATTACAGTACAGGTAGTTGTGTATTATTTATCATTAGTTAGGTAGTTTTCTTTATTGCTTCTGAACGGATTTCACGTTTTGAAAAGAATATGAAAATAAAGAATTTGAATATTTGTGTATTACAATCAGCTAATTTTAAGAGGCTGGTGGAAATTACATCAGGTTATGTACATTTTTTTTGTAACTTACTTGGTATTTTCAGTGATCTAATATTTAATCAGGCATAAAATCATGAGCACATTTGTTGAAATTCAGCGAGACTGGGACTTTTCCTTAGTATCAGATACTGCTACTCTACTTTATATAATTTATCGTTCATAAAATGAATCAGTAATGGTGGAGCAGACGATGAGCACCAGTAGGGCTTTATGGAATTGCACCAAATTTTCAGATGTTGTTTGGATGAACAGTACAGTAAGTACTTAGAAAATTGAAATGACAATACACAAAACCAATTAGATCCTGACCCACCTTCTTTACCTGTGCATTGTCGTTTCGATATTCTTACATACTATCATAAGTAAATAATAATAATAAACTCGCCCAATGAGATCGTCATTGGTTTCTTGATAAGTAAACAAAGACCGCAGATACTCCCATAGAGCAGATGATGTAAATCAAAGCATGGTTGGCACAGGAGATCCTACAGTACGTCGCTATAATTATGGTAAATAATTTCATGCTCACCAATCATGCAGAGACGTGAAAGTACTGCCAAATGATCAGTGTTCGTAGTAAGTTTACTCCGTTATTTCCCTCTTTCATGCCCTGTCCACTAACATGTAAAGACATTTCGGTTACTACTGAGTATCATTCGCAGAACTGTGGAAAATATGCACGAAATATATAAATGTGTATGGGTGCTATCTGTCGGCTCCACCTTTACCAGTGAGTCACAAAAACCTACCAATCTTAGGTAATTATTGACAACTAACCCGCTGTCGATTTTTTATATAAAAAGATTTTTAAAATGCCCCATTTTCACCATATTTTATAGTGGACACTATCGTAGTTTGGGCAAATGTGTTAAAAAGTGAATATTTCTAAATTAAACCTAACCTACCCTTAGTTGATAAGAAAACAAGCAGCAGAAGCATTGGTATAAGACCTCATCAATCTCGCCAAAGTGGTAATATTGCAAATAAACAGCAACCACAGAATTCCGGAAATTCACTACAGTAAATCTATAGAACTATTTTTTCTATAATAATTTTCTCATATTACATTAGGTTAGGTTAGGGTAGGTAACACATTTTTTATCAGATTCTTTGGTTGCTGTAATCTGCAATTTTACCGCCAAAGTAACTTACCTAACTTTCTAGCCATGAGGCTCCACCCTCAAGACCCGACGGCATATTAAACACAAAGAAATTTGAACTTTGAGCAAATAATATTGTTGGTAATAGAAAACAAATTTCTTTGATTTGTCTAAACTACTGATTCCAAAACTTATAATCCTAAAGTTTGCTGGATGACCGAAATGATAATACCCAAATTCATTCAAAACTCATCAAAAACCAACCAACAAGATTTCTGTATTTTCATTATTAATGCTACTATAATTACAGTGTAGGCTGGGGTTATTTTTAATAAATTTCCTGCTCCTCAGCAAGTGATTCTGGTAGTCAAGGAACACAAACCTATTTTTGAAGCTGCCAATTATTCGAAAAATTAACCGCATCAAGGTTCATTTGACCACAAGGTTCTGGAAAAACTTAGATACTTTACTGTATTTCAAATCTATCATATTTACAGAGAAGTTACCGGGGTACTCTGAGGTTTTCCTCCAGTAATATTGAAGAGGCCTTGACCAGTAGCGGGGTTACTGTATATTAGTTATTTTCCTAATTACACCTAAGAATAAGAATTTGGCTAGCTTCTTGACTATTACTTTAGTGAATATTTAAGATAAGATTAGAGGCAGGGGATCATTAACCTTGTTTTGTGTGGTGTAGCAGGGGAGACCACTGGCCGGGGTGCACTATTGTTTACATCCTCACACCACACACATGACACCCATATTGTCAGCATGATAACTATCTTAATAAAACACTATTAATATATTATATGATAATATGAATTAAATAGGAATAAATTAATCAATAATAAATTTTACATATAAATATTTATCATGCACGTATTGTTAGAACGATCAAAAACTTTCATTTAAATAAAATACTAATATAATTATATGAATTTAATAGTTTTTTATATAACAAAAATTATATATATCTTTAATTCTAAATGAAGGTGGTAATTTTATCATATGTAGAAGTGAACCAAGAGACAGTTCTATACTTCACTATAGTCTCACTCCAGCCCTGCCCTACACCGGTGTCCACCATGGCTGCTGCACGGTTTGGAATTCTGGTGCATATAATAATTATTGTTGTATGTCTCATGTTAAACCGGTCCTTACGTGTAGTACAGTTTGATGAGGAAGGATAATCTGGGTTAATCCACGGCTTATGTAACTTAAAATAGTGTTTGCCGGTTTCGTTTTATAATTTATGGACTAGGTTTTTGTCCGGTTGTTGGTTAGGATTGAGATAAATACCAGAAGAAGTTGATGGAATTGGACGAAACTGTGTGGAAGTGTTATATTTACACGGTTCGTCACCAATATCAATTCCATTTCGTCACCACTAACAGTCGCTGGTATTAGTGAAAAATTTTAAGTAATTATTTTACACTAATAGAAATTACACCTGTATACAGACGACTCGGGAAGCATTGTGTTATTATTATACTTGAATTTTAATTATATATTAAAGAAAATTATGAAAACATTGGTAAATAAACAATACAGAACAAATGGAGGTGATTTGGCACCTGTGCATAAACCGCCGAGCAGCAAAGAACTAATCTCACCCTACCCGCTTCTTCACAGAGAAACCTCAATGGTCGATTTGCAATTACAACTAGTTGCTGAGCACAAGCTAAAATGGTGCACAAGAAAAGCAAATCATGACAAACAAGTCCATCTCTGGAAGCTGTGGGATGAATGTGTTTTTCTACTGTATTTTTGTGTGTTGACTTTGATTTCCATCGTGAATTATCTGTTTTTTTAGTTATCTGGGGTTTTGGGTGGGGCGTTTTCCGACAAAAATTGTGGTTAATCGAATACAAAATACAGAAGAAAAAAAAACACTAGAAAAACAGGCATATAAACCTGACCTAGCTTATTTTTCACCATATGATGGAATTGCCTATTTCGCACCTTATTGGCCTGGTTCTGGTTCGATTCTGAGATTAGTACAGGTGAATATGGCACGTTTTTAAAAATGTTCCTTTGTAATCACTGATGGTGTACGAACACCGTTTCTTTGTCTTTGGAATAAGGAACGAGTTACCATAAAGCCACATATGTTGGTCTTGACGATATTTACATTCGTTCTTACACTTAGGACACTATACTGAGGTCGAGAGAACACCATTGTGGATCTACATGATATATATATATATATATATATATATATATATATATATATATACTGCATATATATATATATATATATATATATATATATATATATATATATATATATATACAGTCTCTGTGGAAGGTTAAGGCACACCGTGGGGAAAAATAAAAATCATGTTAAGGCAATAAAAAAATGAAAATAACACTCACCCACCCCTAGTATTTTGTTGTGTTTCCTTCCTCGTCAGCACCTCTTTCAGTCATTGTGGAACACTGTCTGCAAGGTTTTGCAGGTGCTGTGGGGTGAAATTGGCCCACAGTTGCTTAATTGCTGTGGTGAGCTTGGGGATGGACGAGGTGTCGAGGTCACGTAGGCGACGTTTCATGAGCCCCCAAAGGTTCTCAATAGGGTTGATGTCGGGGGAATTGCCAGGCCAGCCCTTAAAATATGAAACCTGGCAATCCTCCAACCACTGAGTAACCGACTTGGCTGTGTGGCAGGGAGCACCGTCCTGCATGAACACGACAGCGCGTGTTTTCTCAAACGATTCAGGCAGAACGTCACAAAAGCTCGAGGTACACACCCTGGTTAACTTTAATGTTTTTTTCAAGCACAACCAACTCACCAACACCGTAATAAGTGAAACAACCCCATACCATCACTGAATCAGGATGCTTGACCGTCTTGACGGTGTACCTTGGGTCGAGCGGGTCAGAGTCTGGCCGGCGGTACACCCTATTGTGACCACAACCACTCACTGTAAACGTGGCTTCATCACTCCACAGGACGTTCCTCCAATCCTGAAGGGACCAGACACTGTACTTCTTCGCAAAAGTGATCCTCTTCTTCTTCTGGGCAGCAGTCAGCAGGGGCTTACGGCGTGGTCGGTAGGCGCGATAACCGAGATCGTCATGAAGAAGCTGCTGCACCGACCTTAAGGAGACGTGACCAAAGAGTCCGGGGTTAGCTTGCTTTAATTCCCGGGCCGTGAGCTTAGGATTAGCATTAACTTGCCTAGCAATCACCTTCCTGGTTCTAGGAGACGTAAGCCGTGGTCGCCCAGACCTGGGTTTAGGGGGATTTAGGGGTAGGCAACTCTTCCTGGCTGTTTGCCTCAAACTCCGAGATGAATCGGTACACTGACCGGCGGCACACACCGGTTAATTCAACTACTTCAGTAACTTTATGATTAGCCTTGTATAAACCAATCACCTGTGCAATATCCTCACGCTTAGTAACTCTCCTGGACATCTTAAAGACCCAGAAATCACACGATAAAGCACTGTAACTCAGGCGTAAAATCACGGCACGTGGCGCTCACATGGGTACAATAACCTCCACCCACGCAACCTAAACAAAGACTGAGCGGTTCCTACTATGTGACAGCTGTCGCCTAAGGGTTCCAGATGCCGTTAGAATTGTGACTAAATATTTCTGATCAAAATTTATCCCTATCTTGAGGGTAAAACGATTTGTGCTAAAAGTGAAGTCACAGCCCAATTTGTGCCTTAACCTTCCGCGTAGACTGTATGTATGTATGTATGTATGTATGTATGTATGTATATATATATGTATATGTATATATATATATATATATATATATATATATATATATATATATATATATATATATATATATATATATATATATATATATATATATATATATATATACAGTATATATATATATATGCAAGTAAATCACTGTAGGTGCGCGTGATCTAGGTATATGCTGATAACCACAAGGAAAGAAGAAAACATGAAGTTCCCAAGCGCTTTCGTGTAATAATCAAAATGTCAAAATCTAATTGTGGACCTTCATTTACAGGCAAGGACCTTCTCCACTTCAGTGGCTGCCAAGCAGTTGGTGCAGGTTGGTGGTACAGGACTTTTTAAAAGAAAATCAGTTTTACATAATTATGGATTTTAGAACTTGTGCCATTATGTATATACAGTACAGAATTTGATTAAAAGTCTAGATTTGATAAATAAGCATAAACTTGAACAATATACGTAATGTAAAGAGTATCACTGACATAAAGTTAGTAATACCCAATTTTGGTATCATGAAATTATTTTAAACAGGCAATTCCAACCACCTGGACCCAGATTTAGAGGGTGGGTAGGTTTGTTTTAGCTAGGTCATTTTGTTTGCTAGGTGCCTATCCCTATGATTTTTTTATCTTTGTATCCTTTTTGCTTGTTGAATTTATCAAAAAAGCTCTTCTGTATTCCAGCCACCGGTTCAGGTCTTTGGGTTGGAGGGCCGCTATGCCACTGCACTGTATTCAGCAGCCTCAAAAGAAAAGGCTTTAGATGCTGTTGACAAGGATATGAAGGTCTTTTCTGTAAGTTAGAATCCTGATATGCTCTAGTTCATTAAAGATGTAATTACAATATGTTGTCATTTACCATGTCATCAGATCAGCACATACAGCTACAAGTATTTTTGGTAATAGTGGAGCAGATGGCTAACACCGGGAGTTGTTCGATTTCCTTAATATTTTCCACATGTTCTTTTGGTGATAGTAAGCAATAAAACTTGTACAATTTTTTTTTATTTTAATTGTACTGTAAATATTTATCTTTAATTTTGAAAATTCTTTTCTGTGATTGTAAATCAGGTTGTGAAGGATGAGGAATATTGCGGGGTAAAGCACGGTAAAAACTGATCATAAGACACTAAAGTGATGTTTCTGCATGTATTGTACATGGAATAGATGAATTATCATAAATACCCAAAAATCTACCATGTCGGCACGTACTCTCTTGTCCACAAAAACATAAAATTACACTTTGTCGTTTCAAGAATGTTACTTCTATTGGTATCAGATATAAAAGTAAGTACAGGTACTTTGTTTAATATGGCGTAGGAGGGGGAGTTGCTCCCTGCCTAGGGAGTTACGTTTCTTTGGCTGTTTGGGTAGGTTCTATTAGTTACTGTCATCCAAAGAACAGCTGAAGAAAAAAATGAACAAAATAGAACAATGTGTTTTGATATTATCCGTCTGCTCCATGATTACCGTACGGTTTTTAATTGTTGGCTTATGCATTTACATTTTGATTTATTTGAATACAGTGGTCCCTCGATTAATCAACACAATTGGTTCCACAGAGTCGGTTGTTAACCGAAAATTTCGTAAACTGAATATTATTTTAATAGGATATTGGGTAATTGGTACCAACTCACAGAAAAAGTACATACAGTGATTCCTCGGTTAACGAATTACCTTCCATAATATTCTTAACTTAGGTTAACGAGCATTCCCTCGATTAGCGAATTCCTTACGAGCGCCCCTCAACATGTTTTCGCTTGCACACTAGCTGTCATATTAGTCCGCCAATACAGTAATCGGTTCTAGGGCTTAAATTCCTTACTATTTTAGTAAATATCAAGAAGTTTGTACTATTCAATAATTTAAAAAGTCTTATATTAAAATTTTTAGTCATTTTAACAATTATTTAACATAATTTAAGTCCAGGGAAACTAGTTTTTAGCGCGCCAAACAGCCTGTCAACACACCATACAGGCGTCAGTCTCTGTGTCTTTTCAGTGGAGGTAACATCATGCTTCAGACTCTTCAACATAAATGCTTTTTTTCTGTTTCCAGTCAAATTATTGGTCATTTTGAAATTTATTTTACATGTTGACAATATATAATGCAGTGCAGTGTTGATTTAAAGAAAATAATCTTGAATTACACCTAGCGAACTAAAATTTTGTGTGAAATGGCGCCATGGGGTTACTTCTCTTCCACCCCAATGCCTTCTCTTCTCCCTTCTCCACCCCCATTCTAATTCCTATCATCATCATCATCATCCAGGAGCCTTCTACATACACACCTCAAAGTAAGTGTACTTTACTACCTTTTTTTATTGACTTTAGGCAATTTTCGTTGAGCTGAAACCAATTACCCAAAAACCCATTGAAACAATGGTTTCAGTTAACAAATTTTTCGGTTAACGAGCAACCTTCTAGAACGAATTGTGCTCGTTAACCGAGGGACCACTGTACAAAGTACAGTATAGTGTACCAGTAATAGAATTAAAACATTAAATATAAACTAAATACAGTACTGTACTGTACAGCATACTGTGCAATAATAAATAACAAACAATAGAATACTATATTTTAAATTACTTTGAGGTGTGTATGTCGTATTCCCGGCATCTTTGTTTACATATCAAACAGCTGATTGTACAGGCAGTCGATGATTACATGCCATATTCTTTACAGAGTGCATTGATTCTAATGCCTTCTTCATGTTTCATAATAATTTCTTCACTGTATGTTATCAATATGTGAACTAAATTTCAGAATGACCAATAATTTTAATGTAAAAATGCAAAAATATTCAAGAGACCAACAAAATCTATGTTCACTCCACTGTAAACAAAGCTAAACTGAGAAGTGTTGTTGGGCGATTCAATCAGCTGATGGGCACACAAAAACTGTTCCCTGTACTGTCTAAATTATCAATATTTTAACTAAATTTCAGAATGACCAATAATTTTGATAAAAAAATGAAGAAATATTCTAGAGACCAACTTTCTTGATATTTACTTCACTGGAAACGAATGTTAAACATAGAACCAATTACAGCTCCTCCCTGACTTATGACGGGGTTAGGGAACCAAATCCAGGTCGTAAGTCGAAAATGCTTAAATAGTACATAGAAAATCTAAATTGGGTGTCTCTTTTTCTTCTCGGCACCACAAAATTCTCACTTTTAAGCTTGCCAGCCATTTTAAAGTTAATTACAAACAATAATTTTTTGTCAGTACACAGTGCAATCACTAACGTTGGGACTCGAAAATACGTATTTTTACAAAATTATGGTACGACTAAGGCGGTCGTAGGTCGAGGAGTAGCTGTACTGTATTGGCGGACTAGCCGATCAGCTGATGCTCACAACAAAACGTGTTTGTCGTAAGGATTTCGTTAATCAAACTGAAAATCCTTATGGGAGCTAATTCGTTAACCGAGGGACCACTGTACTGGACTGTACAGTATACTGTACAATAATAAATAAAAAACAATAGAATACAGGGGGTACTGTATTTTAACTTACTTTGAGGTGTGTATGTCGTATTCCTGGTACCGGGGTAGCTTTGTTTACATATCAAACAGCTGATTGTACAGGCAGTCGATGATGACATGCCATACAGAGTGCATTGGTTCTAATGCCTTCTTCATGTTTCATAATAATTTCTGCACTGTATGTTATCAATATGTTAACTAAATTTCAGAATGACCATTAGTTTTAATATAAAAAATGAAAAAAATATTCAAGAGCACAACGTTCTTGATATTTACTCCACTGGAAACGAATGTAAACATAGAACAGATTACTGTATTGACAGACTAGCCGATCAGCTGATGCGCACAACAAAGTGTTTTTCTCGTAAGGCTGTCGTTAATCAAAGGTTTGTTCGTTAATGGAACTGAAAATCCTAATGGGAGCTAATTCGTTAATTGCGGGAACACTGTATAGCCTTTTAATAAAGGCTGTCATTTAGTATATCATGTTTAATTTTTTTTTTAGCATCATGCATTGAGTCTTTAGTGGTAGGGGTGACCTCAAATTGTTTTAATGCATTTGAATCATTGAAGTGGGGAAGAAATTTACCTTTCTAAACATCAGTTTTAAATAGATTGATATGCTTTAATTATTACCAGTTTTCCCACTTTAATTAATTTTTCACATGTTTATTCTATTTCTCTTTTATTGTCTGCCGAAGACTTCAGTTAAATTTTTCATTTACAATAAAACCTCGTAAATCGAACTTCAAAATGCAGTCTTTCCTCAACTTACGACGGGGTTCCGTCCCAATGACCAAGTCGTAAGTCGAAAAGGCGAAAATAATACATAGAAATATTAAAATGAAATACAGTACAGTAAAAGTGATCACTAATGAAAAATGAACAAAGTGTTACTGTGCACCTACCTTTAATGTAGTCAGCTGAATGCACACGGGGCCTCAATAATTTTTTAATTAAGCATGAAGACTACATTAATTGGACGAAGCAGAGGAGGAGACAGGGCTGGGTGGGTCATCAAGTTCACTTTCTTCAGACAGGCTAACATACTTGCTTGTTGAAGGTATTGGATCATCTTTAGGGAGTGAAGAGGTAGCATTGGTGGGGCATGAGACAGCAGCAGTGGGGGACTTCTTAAAAATATGTCCAATTTAGACTGCACAGTTTGCCTTTTCTTTTCATTGTAAATCTCCCTGTAGCAAGCAAGTGCATCTTGTATCAGTCTGTCAACTTTTGAAAAATGCTCAACATTTTGATCCATTCCGTCAAACATTTGCATCCCCTTATTTAATAATAGCAAATGCCTCTGCCATTTGTTTCACTGAAAACTTTTTCGGGAGTGCAGATGTTTACCCATCTGCACTATCTTGTTACCAATCTCAGAAATTGCTTCATCTTCATTAAATCCTTTGTAACTGTTCACATATCTTTTCAGGACCTTCTTCCATGTTCCATTCATGTACTGACCTGTAACCTCATCCCATGCTGCAGCTATGTTCTTTGTATATTGCAAAATGTTGTAGTCCTTCCAAAACTCCTGAGCGTTTTCTCACCTTCAGTAGCAGCAATATCCTGAGCGAAGGTCGTACATAAATATTACGCTTTAAAGGCAGCAATAGCACCTTGATCCATGGGTTGGATGATAGAGGTGTGGTGGGTGTCCCGGAGCATTATCTAAAATTAATAAAATATTGAATGCAACCCCTTGTTGCAGACAATACTCCTTGGCTCGTGGAATGAAACAACTCGGAACTAATCCTCAAACAGTACTATGGTCTTCCATGCTTTCTTATTACTGCGGTAAAACACTGGCAGTGTGTGCTTGCTGACATTTTTAAAAGCCCTTGTGTTCTCTGAATGGTATATCATGAAGGGTTTTACCTTGAAACTAGCTACCCCCCCCCCAACAGAAGTGTAATTCTGTCCTTGAATCCTGGCATTATTTTTGCCTCTTTGTGGATGTATGTCCGTTCTGGCATGCGCCTCCAGTTTCATCCACATTAAATATTTGCTCAGGCTCAGGCAGTAATTTCCCCCCACGATGACACGATCTAGCTCCTCCTTAAAAGCTTCAGCAGCACCCACATCAGCAGTAGCTGCCTCTCCACTCACCTTTACACTGTGCAAACTGTAATGTTTCTTAAACCTTTGGAACCACCTGTGACTTGCTGTGAAGATTTGGTTGCACTCATCTCCTGCCATCTCTTTCAAAAAAGGTTTCTTGCCTTAGCCTGTATGGTTAGAAGGCTTAAGGGTACACGCTTTCGCAGCTGATCTTCCATCCACATCACAAGTAATTTCTCAATCTCACGAAGAGGACCTTGTCTTTTTTTTTTCGTTATTATTGTTCCCTTTATAGGTGCTGATTCTTTTTGCTACCTCACGAATTCGTTCCTTGTCCTTCAAAATTGTTGATATCGTCGAGTGAGAGAAGCCAAGGTCGCGTGAAATGGTTGCTACCGTTATTCCATTTTCATATTGCATTATTATTTTCATTTTCATTTCAAAAGTAATTGATGGTCTCTAATCTTCTCAGCACCACGAGAACTCTCACTTTTCGCTTGCCAGCCATTTTAAAGGGAATTGCAAACGAAAATTTTGTCAGTACAGAGCACGATCACTAATAACAATAACGATGGCCAAACACCAACTGAGCGGGCTACGGTGTGGATGCTGTACACCAAGAGGCGGCCCAGCCCAAGCTGTCACTTTACGACCAAACGTCGGGACTCGAAAATACGTAAAGTGAAAAATATTTTATACGACCATGGCGGTTGTATGTCTGGGTTGTCGTAAGTCGAGGAGAGACTGTATCGGAATTCGCTTACTGAATATTGTACAGTGGTCTACAGTAATCAGATTTGCTATAGGCATACTGAGAACTAAGACTTGAGTTTATAAGCAGGCTGGGGCTGATGAGGTGTTGTCGCATTCGTCAGGTTTATTTATTGATTCAGGATTATATTCTCATATGATTGGCCTCTTATGGTTTATGGTTCATCATGATTAATATAACATCTTCAATAATAGAGAAAAATACAATACTGTACAGTGGTCCCTCGGTTAACGAACACAATTTGTTCCAGAAGGTTGTTCGTTAACCGAAAATTTTTTTTAACTGAAACCATTGTTTCAATGGATTTTTGGTTTATTGGTTCCAGCTCACCGAAAATTACCTAAGTAAAAAAAAATGCAGTAAAGTACACTTACTTTGAGGTGTGTATGTAGAAGGCTCCTGGATGATGATGCTGATGTGAATTTGAAGTGGGAGGTGGAGGAGAAGGAAGTGGGGGTGGAGGAGAAGCATTTTATTGCTTCTTGGAAGGTGAGTCACCTTCCATGGAAATGTCAGGAACCTCTGGACTGACAGATTCTCCAGCAGGAACATTCTCTCTCATTCTTGAAGTGGAAGGCTGAGGGGTAGCATCTGTTTTCCGATACCTTTTAGTAAAGAAACTGTCAATTTTTGGTTGTGGGGCATTTCTCATCATCATCAACTGATGTTTGAAGGAGACCACTCTGTCCTCAACATTACACAAAATAGGTTCTGTTTGTTTCCACATCTGGGTGCCTTGAAGCCAGTTTCCTGAACTTCTCCCAGTAGTGAACAACATCTTTCAAATCTGAAGTAGACATATGGTCATCACTTTCCCTTTCCTCCTCACCACTGTCAGCCTCCAACATCTCATCCAGTTGCTGCAAGTCTTCAGGAGTAAGTTCCTGCTCATGAGACATCACAAGCTCTTCCACATCATCCTCCTCCACTTCGAGGCCCAATGATTGACCAATGTACACAATTTCCTTGTCCAACTCTGCTTCTTCCTCAAACCCCTGAAAATCATGGACTGCTGATGGCCACAAAGCTTTCCATGCAGAATTGAGGGATCAAATGGAGACTTCTCTCCATGAGGACACAATAAATTTTACAGCCTCCAGGATGTTAAATTGTGTCTTCCAGAACTGTGCCAGTGTTAGTTCAGGATCAGTGGAAGTTGCCTGATAACACCACCTGAACATTTTCTTCATGTACAACTTCTTGAAGTTGCTGATCACATTCTGGTCCATTGGCTGCATGATTGATGTAGTGTTGGGAGGCAAAAACAACACTTTGACAAAGTCAAATTGAGCCTCCAAAGTGCTGGCAAGTTCAGGGTCATGACCAGGGGCATTATCCATAAGGAGAAGAGCCTTTAAAGGGAGTTTATTGGTTGTTAGGTAGCTCTTGAGAGAAGGGCAAAACACCTCAACAGACCATTCATTAAAGAGCTGTCTTTTCACCCATGCCTTACGGTTGAACTTCCAATAAACTCCAAGCTTTCCTCTTACCACTTTTTGTTGCTTGAACACCCTGGGGTTCTCAGGGTGGTAGACAAGTATAGGCTTCAGTCGGAAATCCCCTGAAGCATTGGCACCAAGCAACAGAGTGAGTCGGTCCTTAATGGGTTTATGCCCAGGTAAAGAGGCTTCATCTCTGGTGATAAATGTCCTTTTGGGCATTTTCTTCCAGAACAGCCCAGTTTTGTCCACATTGAACACTTGCTGTGGAAGATAATTTTCTTCATCCACCAGTTTCTTAAAGTCCACTACAAACTTTGCTGCTCCTTTATCTGCACTTGCAGCCTCACCATGCCTAATAACACTGAAAATGTCACTTCTTTTCTTAAATTTTTCAAACCAGCCCTTGCTGGCCAGAAAATCTTCGAACTCTGTGCCAGAAGAACCAGGTTGATCTTCCTTTAAATGTTCGTAAATCTCCCTGGCTCTTTCACAAATAAATTCTGTAGAAACTGAATCACCTTTCATTTGCTTTTCCCTAATCCAAATGAGAAGTAACCTCTCTGTTTCTGATATCAATGATCTACCTTTAAACAGTCTGGTAGATTTGTCTCGCTTTCACTTCCTTGAACTTGTCTTTCTGTTCAAGAATTGTCGTCACAGTTGATGCCGACATGCCATAGTCTTTACTAAGCACATTAGTTCAAATGCCCTGTTCATGTTTCTTTATTATTTCCTGTTTTACCTGGATTGAAATAACTTTTCTCGATTTCTTTGGAGCCATGCTGGATTCGATTTCAACACTGAAATTTTAAGTTATTGCTGTAAATAACGAATATTTTCTTGAAATAAACACTGCTCAATAAATTATCAATATGTAAAATATATTTCAAAATGACCAATAATTTGAGTGTAAAAACAGAAAAAAAGAGTTTATGTTGAAGAGTCTCAAACAAGATGTTCCTTTCACTGAACCGATACACAAACTGACGCTAAGCTTGGTGTGTTGAGTGGCTGTTTGGCATGCGAAAAATTAGTTTCCTGTACTTCAATTATGTTCAATAATTGTTAAAATTACTAAAAAAAATATAATGTAAAATTTTTAAAATTATTGAATAGTACAACCTTCTTGATATTTACTAAAATGGTAACTAATTTAAGCTCTAGAACCGATTACTGAATTGGCGGACTAGTACTACAGCTGGTGAGCAGCCGAAAACATGTTGGGGAAAATTCGTATGGAATTCATTAACCGGGGTTCAGCCGGGGGGCGAAAATGTAATAATAATAATAATAATAATTCATAGTAAATAAAATCTATAATAAAAATTTTAGGATAAAATAATAATAATAATAACACTGTAATAATAATAATAATAAAGGACCATAAAGAAATACAAAATAAAAAAATATCAAAAGTGAGAAACAATATAGGTATGTTGTGTTGCCAATAGGAAGAGAAACAATTGATAGCCAGCAATTGTGTGTAAATGAGACAAAGTCAGATCAGCAACCTGGGGCTTGGTCCCAATTTTCGTGATGCCATATGGCAGCAGGGTCTACCATTAGACAACACATTATGCTTACATTATCTTCCCAGGTGGCAGTACCTCCCTGTTTGGTAGCTCCCTACTACCTACTTGTACACTTAGACAAATGATTAATGAATAAACCAAGGTATATGCAGTGCATAATACTTTACACTAAAATATTACTTATTGATGCTAAGTATACTACAATAGTATTTATTAAATGGTGATAAATACACTGCAATAGTATTTATTAAGTGATGATAAATACATAACTGTACTGTACTATTTTACTAAGTGGTGAAGACAGACATTGTGGTAAGCCGTACAGCTGTTTGACTCATGGTTTTCAGTGTGGTATTCTTTTTTCAGGAAAGCTAATTCCTTTCGGATAATATTTTATCAACCTTGGCTCCAAATGATCCTATATTATATGAGAATTGTGGTGGAATTGCATAAAGAAGTGTTAAACTTAAAGGAGTTAGGGACCACCCACCCATGCTACCCCCCTGCTCGCTGCTCCCAGATAAACATGTCTTCCCCATACAATTATTCTCCTACACTTATTTGTTCTTATTTTTGTCTTTATATTACTGTACAGCATACAGTTTTCTCTTTATTCATGAGGCAAATCCTGTGGTTACTTGCAAATAACACTTTACAGTAAATAACAATCATCTCGGTGACAACCAGACTTACAAGTCTGATTTTCAACCCAGAGAATGGTTACATATTTTTTTATTGTATAACCTTGTTATACACTTGAAGATCTTAGTTGTTGAAGTGCAGTAATAACATAACTGATTTTTTTTAACAGTTCAGATAAACAATGTTATCTCTTCTTCCCCCCACCATCACCACCCCATATACCGTATTCGCCTTTTTCGGACTGGGGTCTTCCCAAATTAATCCGATTTATTGAAGTTCTACTCTATTGGCTTTTTCAGGGCTTATTAAAAACAGACCTCCAGCTTAAGGAATTCCTCTTAAATCCCCTTCTGAGCAAGGAGCTCAAGCAGCAAGCTCTTGATTCAGTAATGACCAAAAAGAAAGCCAATGCCCTCACAGCAAACCTTTTTGGTAAGTTGGATTAATTTGTTTGTTCATTTTGAATTAAAAGAACCTAACATTGTTATGTTTAGCCTGAAAATCAAACATTGAATGGTCATTACAGATAATTTTCTTAAAATTATTTGCTCTCCATTTTACTGTACATATACAATGAAAGACAAACTTTGTGTCGTGAAATTTGGTGAAAACGTGCCGAAGGGGTAAACTTTTGGTGCGCTCTGCCTTGTGGTAGGGCTTCCATAATGTTTCACGAGTTATATTTAATCTTTAGACTAAACCGCGACACAACTATTGTCTTTGATTGTACAAGGAATGTAGTGAAATTAAAATTAATTGATGGTTGTGAGAGATCACTCAATATAGTTAAATATGTATCAAGATACATTAAGTTGGAGTTGAATTAATACTTATATTTTTTCCTAAATTTTTGTGTTACTGTACTGCTAATGACTTTATATTATTAGGTGCACTTACTGAAAATGGTCGCTTGTCAAATGTCGAGGGGGTCATTGGTGCATTTGAAACTATTATGGCTGCAGTCCGAGGAGAAGTTTTGTGTGAGGTCACCACTGCCAAGGTTTGTTATTGTGTATTTTGTTAATTTGCCAGTTGATGGTATGTGTCACAGCTGATTGTCAAAGGTTAAATTTGTCTTGAGCATAACCTTGTTACAATTCAGGTATGGTAGTTAATGAAACTTGATTTGATTATATTGTACGGTATACTGTATAATTGTTGTGAACACTATAGTAACACCAGATTCAACCTTTTTGTTAAGGTCACTGTTATAGCTGACAATTTTTTTTAGATAAATTTTTTTTGATAGATACTTTGTAGAAATAAAGTGAACTTGTGTCAAAAGTCAGATTTGGCAGTGAGCTTACCACTGTTCTGATTTGGAATCTCGTTAATTTTCCTATACTTTCACATCTGTGGTCTCTCTTGGTGTAGGTTGCTTATACTTTCACATCTATGGTTGCTCTTGGTGTAGGTTGCTTCTTTTCATAGATTAAGAGTTTATCAAGAGTTTAACCCTCTCGTGCATGCAAAAGTTTTTTAATTTGTGACCATTAAAAAAGTCATATGGTAGCACTCGCGTGCAGTCTGGGCATCTTTTTTCTGCAGTCAGTTTATCCAACAATAATCTTTTTCCTTGTGATTTATATATCTCTGGGTATGCTATTGTATTGGTTTTAACATAAGCAGAAAGAGACTTAGAACTATATACTGTATTGCATATACAGTGGTCCCCCGGTTAACGAACACAATTCGTTCCAGAGTCGTTTGTTAACCTAATCCATTGTTTCAATGGGGTATTGGGTAATTGGTTCCAGCTCAGAAAAATACAAAATAAGTAAAAAAAAATACAGTAAAGTACACTTACTTTGAGGTGTGCATGTAGAAGGTTCCTGGTTGATGATGATGATGATGATGATGATGGGATTTAGAAGTGGGGGTGGAGGAGAAGGGAGAAGAGAAGGAAATGAGGATGGAGGAGAAATCACCTTTCAGGGGACCCATGCTTGATGCAGCAATTTCACCAATAAAATTTTAAGTTCACTAGGTGTAATTTGAGATTACTTTACTTAAATCAACACTGCACTGCACTATAAATTATCAATATGTTAACTAAATTTCAGAATGACCAATAATTTTAATGTAAAAATGCAAAAATATTCAAAACACCAACACAATCGATGTTCACTGATGCCTGGTGGGTGAGTCAAGCGGCTGATGGGCGCACAAAATACTAATTCCCTGTACTGCATACATTATCAATATGTTAACTAAATTTTAAAATGACTAATAATTTTAATATAAAAAATGCACAAATATTAAAGAGCCCAACTTTCTTGATATTTACTCCACTGGAAACGAATGTATACATAGAACAGATTACTGAATTGGCAGACTAACCGATCAGCTGATGCTCACAACAAAACGTGTTTGTGGTAAGGATTTCATTAATCGAAGTTTTGTTCGTTAACCGAATTGAAGATCCTTATGGGAGGTAATTCGTTAATTGAACCGTTCGTTAACCGAGGAACCACTGTATATATATTTTTTACTCCGAATAAAGAAAAAAAATCATTTGTGTTCCCAACATCATATCTCGGATATTTTCTCACAAGCCTACCAAGGTATTATCATAGTTTTAGAAGAAGAATTTCATGAACTTTCCAGCGGTGGCTTTGAAATTTTTATACGGCTAATAGTGGGGATGGTAGGAGAGGAGATAATGGGGCAAATGTGACCCACCAGCATAGCTGATGGACAGCGGAACTCGGCTCGCGCTTTGGTACTCTGGAAGCTTCCCTCATGAGATTGTGCAGTCATATAAGATTCAGTTGTCTTGAAAACCTTTTTTGCAAATTATTTAAAGTTTAATGATACAATTTGCGACATCAATGCAAGTAGTGCTGCCCAATGATTTGATGTGATTTGCGTCATGGTGCGCGAGAGGGATAATAAGTGTGTCATCGTCTTACATACATAAAAAAAGATTTGACACAAACACACACTTCCTTGCAGTCTTCAAGATCGTTCCATTGGCTTTTATCTATTCACCAAAGTTTTCTTGGTTACCTTCATTGCTTCCTTCTTTTAACATTGTTTTCTCAACCTATGCTTTCTCACTGTTAAACAAGACCCCATTTATGTGATTTCATTTACTACTGTACCATTTGTAGTCTCTTTCCACAAATGGTCAAAGTTAATCCTCTTTTTGAAACAATAAAAAGATCTATTGTATTTGCTTGAATGTTCTATTTAAAATAAATTACTACAGTACTACCTAGTTTTTAAATTTTAAAGATTTTTTTGTTTTTTTTGTCCAGCCCTTAGATGCTATCATGAAGAAAGAGCTGGAGTCATCCCTCAAAGCATTCCTACAACCAGGAGAGAGTCTTCAGTTGACTTTGAAGGTTGACCCCTCCATCATTGGTGGCATGTTGGTGTCAGTTGGTGATAAGTACATTGACATGTCGATGGCCACCAAGATCAACAGATACACAGGCCTTCTCCAGCAGGCTGTTTAGGCTAATGTAAATTGAAAATGTCATATGTATAGTTTATCTTCTGAACGTGTAGATATTCTTTTTGGGAACTTAATGTTCTAGTTCAGAATATGGTAATAATGGCAATACCTGTACAGCATTCCTCATCAAATAGCTTGTATTGTCACCACCAGAATTATGAATGGTTGGTTCTGCTTGCATAAAAAAAAATTACATAAGGAATGTATAAGTGAATTAAAAGTTTTATGTAAACATAAGTTTTTTTATTGAACATATTTTGGGGATTTTTTTTTTTTTATATATGTAATTATAAATTACACAGACCAGCTTTATGTAAGTTATTTTTACCACCTTACAGGGTTTTTATGTATTCTTACTTGAAAACTTGACACGGTAAAAACCAATACAAAATGCGCTATTAGGTTTTTACACAAGCTGAACAGTTTTATACCTGACCCTGGATTACAAGGTCATATAAACTTATAAAAGATAGGACATGGAGATGTCACTACACTTACAATAAATGAGTTGAGATTTACTTTTTGTTCGTGATGTAGTCACCCTGTAGTATATTAACAATAAAAAAATCTAGTGGTAAGAACAAATTTAGAGTATAGAAAGGTAATGGTAAAAAAAAAGTGGAAGATACAGTATATTTATTGAGTTGAAGAAGGTGCAGTACGGTATTATGGTGTTGAACAGAAATACTTAAGAAGTGGCAGTACGGTTTTGAGTAAATGTCACCATGTTATTAATGCTTATATGGTTTGGGCAGTGCAAGAGCTGAGAACAAGACTGGATGAATCTAAAATATTATGGAATAGAATTGAAATATTCATATACAGAGGATAGTACTAAACTGTGTAGTTTTAACCGAGTCATACTGTACAGTACAGTGTAGTATGATAATGACAATCTTGGTACAATACTGGATGATGATGAATCGAGAGGAACAAGTAGAAGACAAATTCAAATACAGGGTCTATATTTAGCAAAATAAATAAGAATACTCCCCCTCCTCTCCGAGTGCTGTAGGAGACTTGTTGTCGGCAGGGTTGTATCCCACATGTGAGATATAACAGGCAGGGGTGTGGACCACTCGGCTGCTGCGGGTGACGACTCCGTCTAGTGTGACAAAGCCTGTGGGAGGAGGAGGGTTGTAGATGAGAGAAAGTCGAACAGGCGAGGAATGAGGTGCTACTCTCGCGGCAGGGGCAAAGTCCTCAAGGTCACTGGTTGGGGTGTCTGGGTTCACGTCAGGAGCAGGGTCCACGACAGGAGCAGTAGGTACCTGAGGATGAAAAGAGGGTGCCCAGAAATGTTTTGGACAAGGTGTTGCTGCAAGTGGTAATTGCGGGCAGACTGGTGTAGGCATGGTTTATTGGGGGTAATGCTGGGCTGGGGGCCCAACGGGTAAGGTGGCCGGCTTCACTCGATTTATGCTGACGGTGTCGTGCATAAACCTGGAAGGGTCCGTCATAGGGGCGTTATAGTGGGTTGCTGTGAGCATCGCGCCCGACGAAGACATACTCGGCGTTGAGTAGTGCAGGAGGGATGTGTTCAGGGCGACGGGAAGGCTGCCGTGGGGCAGTAGCTTTGAATGCAGAAACTGCTTGTTGTAGTTTTTGCAGTAGGTCGTGACGGACGGCGGGAGTGGAGTGATCGAGGTCAGGAGTAAGTGAGAAGTCCCCGGGTAGGTGAAGGGGCTCGCCTAGCGTGAGATCTGCTGGGCTGCAGTCCATGTCCTCCTCGTGTGATGCACGGATGCCGAGGAGCACTAGGGATAGAGCATCCGTCCAACTGTAAGGGTCGTGCTGTGCCTTGATTGCGTCCTTCAGCTGCAGATGAAACCACTCTACCATGCCGTTGGATTGAGGGTGGTAAGCGGTAGTGCGGTGCCTTGAAGTGCCGAGGAACTGTAGGAGGCTCTGCCAGAGTTGTGGCTCAAACTGGGCTCCTCGATTAGTGATGACGGTCGTGGGGGGACCGGAACGGGAGACCCAACAGGACAGGAAGGCGAGTACGGCAGACTGCTGTAGCATTGGGCATGGGAATGGCTTCTGTCCATCTGATGAAACGGTTAATGCAGGTGAAGATGTCGGTGTTGCCGCAGGATGATGGAAGAGGTCCCACGACGAGGTGCACTACCTGGAAGCGTCCTTTGGGTATAGAAAAGGTTTCTAAGGGAGCCCGTGTGTGTCGATGTATCTTAGAGGACTGGCAGGCCAGGCACTGGGCAGCCCATTTCCTAGTATCGGCCTTAATGCCGGGCCAGACGACACGTTGCGTGAGGAGGCGTTGGGAGGCCCGTACACCTGGGTGGCTGAAACCATGGATGCGGTCGAAGATGGCGCGGCGGTGGATATAAGACACGGACGGTCTAGGCTGCCCACAGGACATGTCGCACCACAACTTGATGTTCATGCCGGGAACGTTGAGTTCTAGAAGGGCGAGACCTGAGGGAGATGTCTTGTATGCTGCAAGGTCTTCGTCGTTCTCTTGAGCTACGGCGAGCTGTCTGTAATCCAGGGTGGAGATGAGGGAAGAATGCTGGATATATAACGAGAGAGGGTGTCAGCGATCTCGTTGTGGCTACCCTTTATGTGTTGGATGTCGCTGGTGAACTCCGAGATGTAAGCCAAGTGGCGAACGACACGAAGTGTATGTGCCTGGGAGGCTGAAGTGAAGGCGTGGACAAGGGGCTTGTGGTCAGTGAAGATGGTGAACTGACGGGCCTCGAGGAAGTGCTGGAAATGCTTAAGAGCAAGGTATACGGCCAGGAGTTGTCGATTGAAGGTGCTGTACTTGAGGTGTGGTGGTTGAAGCCGCTGTGAGAGGAAGGAAATGGGCATGAGAATTCCGTTGATCTCCTGTTGTAAGACGGCGCCCACGACAGTAGAAGTGTCTGCTGTGAGAGTGGTCTGGGCATTGGGTGCAGGGTGAGCTAGGAGGGTAAGGTGTGTGATGTGCTGCTTGATAGTGTTGAATGCCATAACAGCCTCTTGAGTCCAAATGAGAGGCTTGTGAGACGTCTTGGGGAGTCCCTTGACAAGATCGTAGAGGGGGACTAGGACGGTAGCAGCGTGGGCAATGAAGCGGTGGTAGTAATTGACTAAACCCAGGAATACTCGGAGTTTCTTCGCCGTTTCAGGTCTGGGGAACTCCTTAATGGCAGTTACCTTCTGTGGTAGGGGTTGGATGCCGCTCCGCGAGACTCTGTGACCGAGGAAGTCGATAGAGGAGGCTCCGAAGACACACTTGGCAGGGTGAACTTTCATGTTGTTCTGTAGGCGTTGGAGAAGGAGCTGTAGGTGGTGATGGTGCTTGGCAGGCGTCGGAGATGCGACGAGAATGTCGTCTATGTAGACAGTGACAAAATCGAGGTTGCGAAGCATGTGGTCCCTGTACCTTTGGAAGGTCTGGGCTGCATTGCGGAGCCCAAAGCTCATGAAGGCATACTCGAAGAGACCGAACGGATTGGTGAGGGCAGTCTTCTGGGTATCTGCAGGTGCTACTTGAATCTGGTGGAAGTCACGCTGCAAGTCGATCTTCGAGAAGATGGTCTTGTGATGGAGTTTGTGGTGGAAGTCCTGGACATGCGGAATAGGATACCTGTCAGGTTTGGTGACGAGGATCAGAGCTCTGTAGTCACCACATACCCTCCAGTCGTTGGATGATGGCTTTGGAACCATGTGGAGAGGTGATGCCCAGGGACTCTTTGAAGGTTGAATGATGCTGTCTTGCAGGAATCTGTTGAATTCTGCCTTGGCTGCGTTCAGGAGATCAGGGCAAAGGCGGTGAGGGCGTGAGAAGACTGGAGGTCCTTTAGTTTCGATGTGGTGGAAAATTCCTGACGTAGGTGGTGGTGGAGAGACTCGGGGTGAGAAAAGTTCCTTGAACTTCTCGAGCAGGGTGGAGAACTCGTTGGACGGTGAGAGGCAGGTGATAGTGTCGGTGTCTGCAGCATGTGTACCCCGGATCGTGCGTGCTGTAGGCTCATGGATGAGGCAGAGGTGGCTTGGGTCGACGCCGAGCTTGTGGAAGGTGAGGAAGTTGAAGCCAAGGATGGGTTGACAGACGTCTCCCACCACGAACGACCAGCGCAGAGTCTTGGGAAGACTGAGGTCTAAGGCGAGGATGTTTGCGCTGTAGGAGGCGATGGGGGTACCGTAGGCAGCGAACAAGTCGTAAGAGGGTTGCTTTGATGTGTCTTGCAGTGAGGGAGGGATATTGCTGTCCGATGAACCTGTGTCGACGAGGAATTTCCTGCCGGAGATGCAGTCGGTGATGTGCAGCAGTGAGACGCCTGAAGTGGCGGGGACTGTGGCATCTACCAATCCCCGTTGATGCCGTTTCCCGAGTAGTTGCATTGGTACCGAAGCGTTGGTGGTACCAGCAGAGGGTAGGTCCGCTGTGCTGGGAGCTGGCGGCGGTTTCCGGGGCAGGATAAAGACGTCGGGGTTTGTAGGACGTGGTGTGTTGGGTAGGAACAGGCCCAGCAGCAGGCGTGGAGGAGCAGAACTGCTCAATGGTGTCCATCCTGCAGTGTAGAGATTGCAGCAGATCCCTGGTGTCTTGTGAGGTGTTGCTCGACTGAGGAGCGTTGATCCGGTTGACAAGATCGGAGGTAAGTAATGGAGAAATTTACCCATAAACCAACGAAGGCAGCATCCTGGAACTGAAAATCACAACAAATGGTTACCAGAGCTTCATCAACGAAAAAGTCCACAAACTACTTAGCAAACTCTCAAAAATAAGAAGATTTAAAAACCTGAACATACCAAACAAAAGGAAATTATACACGGCACTAATAAAATCAGTAATGTGCTACCCGCCTGTACCAACCAACTCATTTAGTAACAAACGAAGAACTCCACAGAAGAGCAACATCATCGCAGTAAACGTAGACATCTACATCCAAGCCAAAAGAACATGGGAAAAAGTACGAGAGTTAGACTCAAAAACTGTAGCAAACTGGCTCGACAACGAACCAGTAAGAAGAGCAAGAGAAGGACACGTTTGGTTCAGATTAAGCAGAATAAGAGTCGACAACCCACCACCAATGCCAAAATACATCTAAAAATTATCAAATTCAATACAAAAACAAAAAGAACTGTATAGCCATTAAATACTGTACCTTCAAGTCAAGCTTCAATCTTTCAATTAAACCAAAAAGATAGGACCACCTCCTTGTGAACGAAAGTAGTAAGTTGGATCCTACACCTCTTCTTAGAAATTAAACTTCCCTTCTATAAACAAAACGCTTCAGTTCTCTAAAACATGAAAATGTTTCATTAAAAATATGAGTGACCAAAGGACACTATCCTTGGCCTTTCCAACCCTTGTCTTCTTGCCCCTTCCCTCCACTCTTATTAAAACAAAAGATACTTTGCTCAGCCAGCAACACAAGAATCTGGCCAGAGGTCGTCACCCCTTCCTTGGAACAATGGCTACTGTAAAAATAAACATATTTTTAACTTAATGAAAAAGGCTTAAGAGCTAGAACCTAATCACGCAAGATGTAAGTTCAAATATAATTATTATAACCTCAGTGTATCTGGTTGAGCCAGATACTGTCAATCTCTTACTTTCCTTTAAATTTCCTCCCTCTTTTTCCTTGATCCTAAACCAATCCTCTCTCCCCCAAATTGCCACCAAAGTACTTCCAATCCTAACCCCGGCCCTCCCACCCAGCATTACAAGCAATAGCCTTTTACCTTATCTACAGACGTCAAGTCAAGTCAAGGAGATCATTCTACGCTACTCTCCAGAACCAGCAAGACCTCCCAACAACCTCCTCGCCAACTAACTCCCTCAGCAAGCTCCTCACCCAACAGGACCTCTGAGCAAGCTTCTCACCACACAGCAACTGCTCAGCACTGCACTGTACATACAATATATATACAGAAAATGCATTGTGAGTTTCTATTCTTACCTCCATCCTGAGTGTGAGATATCTTACATGTACGTTCGTATATGAGCCTGTGGGGTTTTGTGATGTGGTCTCACACTCAGGATGGGTTGGAGAAAGGAAACTCTCAATGCGTTTTCTCTATATAAATATATTGAATGTACAGTGCAGTGCTGAGGAGTTGCTGCATGGTTAGGAGCTTGCTCAGAGGTCCTGTTGGGTGAGGAGCTTGCTGAGGGAGCTGGTTGGTGAGGTGTTGTGGGGCTGTACCTGTAGGTAGAAGAAGGGAGTTCACGGCGAGGTTGAGAGTTTATACAGCGGAAGTAGGCCTGGCTTGATAGCCGACCTCCGCTTTGTCTCTGTATACATGTTGTATTGGATGTACAATGCAGCTTGGTGCTGGGAAGGCAGCATGGTTACAACTAAAAACCTGGAACGTCAATGTGGCATTTAAAAACTCATGCACTGTTAAACAAATGTTAATCAAGAACTCCCCTAACAACACAATTGGTTGCATATATAAAGTTCCTTGCAAGGAATGTAATATGTTTTACTTAGGCCAGACAGGTAAAGATCTTGTAACTAGACTTAAACAACATAAATATAGTGTTAGGATAGGACAGGTCAGGAATCCAATGCTCTGTTTGTTCATTTGAGGGATAACAAGCATTGCATTGACTGGGATAATGCCTCCTCAATATTACCTTGTAATTCAATTGACAGTAGGAACATCATAGAATCTAGTCTCATTAAACATACCGAAGCATTCAACATGAATTTGAGTAATGGCATGTACAAACTGGACAATTTTGTAATTAAGATGAATTGTAACCAGGTGAGAAGGTTGGGTCACCTTACCCTCTGACCTGACTACCGACCGTTGCGGTGCTATTTAAAGATTAGTAGGGTCATTACCTAATACCTAACCATTGTGGACCTGATCTCACCCTCCTCTGTATATATACACCTTACTTTGTACTTCTCCTTAGTCTGTACTCACCCCTGAAGATGTGAATTACACGAAAGCGCTTGGGAACTTCGTGTTTTCTTCTTTCCTTGTGGTTATCAGCATATACCTAGATCACGCGCACCTACAGTGATTTACTTGCATATATATATATATATGCGTGTGTGTGTACATGGATAATATTCTTGTGGTGATTCAGCCCTTTATGTATTTCTTGTTATTGTTACTTTATATAATAAAGTGCATTATAACATTCTTGTTTACCTTTATGCCTCTACAATAGTGATCTTGTAAAAAATGTGTTTAACCACGAAAAAATTACTCGAGACCGTAATTTCAGTCATTTTGGAATGAACGACGTCTTACAAATGATAATGAGGTTAGGGTTTCTTCATGAATGAATAAATGACGTATAAATAAATATATAAATATATATATACCAGATTATAAATCCGTCAATGTTAGTATAGTTAAGTCACAATGGCATATTTCGTTTTCTATGCATTCTGCCTCAGTCATATCGGTGAGCGTTAGATGGCGCAGCGAACGGCGGCACTGGAGAATACACGCCAAGAAAAAGGAGTTGAGCTTCCTTACTCTACCTTCCCTGCCGAGAAAAAGGAGTTGAGCTTCCTTACTTTACCTTCCTTGCCGAGAAACATGCACCTAGGGGAAGGTCGGCACTAGGCTGGTGTATTACGTCGCGTCATTTCGGAGATTCTAATAACTAACGAAAATGTTTTCACAGTTCCGACTAGCACATTCTGTGTGTCATAGTTTGAGAAGTGGCCTGTCACAGAAATTAACAGGTGGCATTGCAGGTGTCAGATGTTTAGGTAAGTTTACTTTGGAGTTATACTCAATTTACCCTCTTAGTCACTGATCGGCCTGTTAGCATAACGTCTCTTATGTACTGAACCAGCGCCAGTGTCGGTCAAGGCTGGGGTAAAACTGCAGTTTCACTATAAATTGTTTTCGGCCAATATGCCCTAGTAGTTTAGAAATTAGTTTATCCTGTGTATTTTGGTGCGATTTAATCGAATTTGACAATTATTTCCAGGGGAAAGTACCCGTTTTAGAGTTATCCCCCCAAAAGTATGGAAAACTTTAAAATTCATTTCTGACGTTATTATTCTTTGTTCCCTGGTTGAAAAGGGGTTATAAATACTCCAAATAAAGAGATTTAAAGGTTGGGGATGGTTAAAACAGGCGGCCGTGTATTCCCCCCCTCCCCAAGTTACCTAACCTAACCTATTATTCTTTGCCCCCCTTGTTGAAATTGGGTTAGTAATACCTGTACTCTAAAGAAGGAGATCTAAAGGTTGGGGATGGTTAAAACATTGGGCTGTGTATTGGCAGAAACTGCAAAATACCTTTTTTTTTTCCATTTTATTCGGTGTGATTCATTTGAATTTGACCTTCATTTCTGTCAGAAATGAGTCGTTTTTGAGTTATCACCGATCTCCTCCAACAATCGTGGGAGACCCATGGGAATTGGGTGGTAATTGTTTACTTCACTGCTGCTGATTTTTCATAGAAAACGAATTTAAAAAGGCAGTAGATATTTTGCCGTGACCGGTAAGTTCCTCCTAATGCTACTTTACCTTGAGTGCGCTCTGATTGGCTAATCGTCCATTATCGGCGAACCAGAGTAGAACTATATTTGACCATAACTGGTGGCATTTGGCATTTATTTCACTGAGCCGTTGGTTGTGTAGGTGTAAACATACCTAACCATATTTCTGTTGTGCATGGAAACTTATCATTATAACCTAATAAACCTGACATAACTAACCAAAGAAATCTACCTAACTTACCTGACCTCCTAGCAGGGGAGCAGATCCCCTGTCATATTAAACAGAAAATACTTAGCCAGTCAGAGCGCACTCCCGGTAAATAGCATTAGTGGGAACTTAGACGGTCGCGGCAAAATATCCACTATGATTTAAAAATTACGCAATATCACTGTGTTTTATAGTGGACACTGCCGTAGTTATGGCAAATGTGTTAAAAAATGTTATTTAAAAGTTCAAGTTAACCTAACCTAACCTTAGCCTAACCATAACCTAACTTCTTAACCTAACCTTAAACTAACCTAACCTAGCCTTAAATTAACCTAACAACCTAGCATAACTTAACACCAGCCGTGGGCGAACTTACTGTTATCGAGAGGCGGGAAACAGCTGTGAAGTCCACCATATTAGCCCAATTTAATATGCCGGGGGGTGGAGTTTTTATAAACTAAGGTTAGGTTTAATTTAGAAATAGCCACTTTTTAACTACCTCAAACAGAAAGATCTTGCTATGATATGGTGTAATTTTAAATTTTTTTTATGGACGTAAATGCTGCCTGCCGGACTGTGTGGCTCATAGACGTACTCTGGCGTCAATATGATTGGCTATTTACATCTGGGATATGGCATCACCGCCACAATAACGCAAGAAGACAAAGTAGTGCGCGCCTAGGCGAATAATTTTACGAAGAAATTGTTATCATATCAGAACTCCCTGATGAAAGTATAGTAAGAAAATAGACATTAAAACAAATGACTCGTCGGTGGGTTAGTCATCAATATTAGCCATTCTGGGTTTTTTGGTGGGGGAGAGCAAAACCAGAAGCTAATAGGAAGCTACTTTAATCCAACCTAACCTAACCTAGGGTACCATTGCAGGTATTATTTTAGTTTCAATCATCCAGGGAGTCGTAGGAATTTAATTATTGGAATCAGTAGTTTAGATAATTCTAAGACACTTTTCTTTCTATAACGTTTGCCGTGCAAATGACTTATATACAGTATGCCGAGGGGGGTGGAGCCCACCAGTTAGGAAGTTAGGTCAGGTCAGGTCATTTATGAAGGAAACATCATAGAATGAAAGTGTCTTAGAATTGTCTAAACTATTGATTGCAAAGATAAAAGTTCTAAGACTCCCATGTTGTCTGAAAGTAAAACTTTACCAAAATGCAGTTTCTTCCATTTGGTCTTGAATAAACTCACAGTTTACACCAGGTGCCATCACAACACTTAGAAGCAGTAAAGGTGGAGGAGACTGTTAGCACCAGAAATAACTTATGGAATTGAACCAAAATATTTGGAAATACTATTTGCATGATATTGAACATGAAAATAGAATTGAGAATTCACAACACATTAGAACATGACCTGACTTTCTAACCTGTGCATTGTTGTTTCGATTTTTGGTAATGTCTGAGAACAGCACTAGAAGGAGTTGTTTGATTGTGTTCATTTACTAGAACCTAATAGAACCTGACCTAACTAACCAAAGAAACTTACCTATCTTCCACCACATTAAATAGAAAAATAATATATATATATATATATATATATATATATATATATATATATATATATATATATATATATATATATATATATATATATATATATATATATATATATATATATATATACACACACACACACACACACAGTGGTCCTTCTGGTGCGAATGGTCTCTTCCACCTGTACCATAATTTATAAGCTAAGCAATTGCAGGCATTCTAATTTCTTTTGAGTACCTGAGGTGCCCTAATGAAGGCAACTGTCTGGTGACTCCATTTGTTTTATTTATCATTTCACCACTTTTAAGCTTACTAGCTGTTCAAGTAGTTGGGTTCTTTGTCATGAACTTTATTTGACCAGTGTTAGTACTTGGAAAGCACCTTTTTGAAGGGCTTTATGGGGGATGGACCATCCTGGTATATGAACACCCTTCTTATAAAACTTTTCATCGTGATTTTTGTCGCTGATGCTTATTTCTAGATACAACAGTGATTTGCAGAAAGTGAGCCTGTTTTTGAAGATGAGGAAAAATGTGGGGTTAATCACACACACAAATAAAACCACCAATCAAATGTTTGAGACTGTGACATAACCTTTCCTAGCCTTTAAAAAGTTCTAATACTGTACTGTGCTACAAAAACTTACCTCATTTAACCAATGGATTAGCATTAAGTGATTCTCTTCTTGTTTTTGTGTGTTTTTGTCACAAGAAAGCCATAACCCAAATGAATTCTTCTTGATGAAATTTTTGTGCATGTGTAAATCTCTCAAGAGAAAAAGTAGTACTGTACTGTACAGTACAGACTGCTTTCTGGATGGTCAAAGCTGATCATGTGAAGCTCAGATGAACAATTGTACCGAGACATTGCAGATTCACAAAAAATAGCCAACAAAGTCCTCAGATCCCTATATCCAATAGGGTCCTTATATTCATTTGGTGTGTTTTTTTCCCATTTTTATGATATCTCAAATTTAAAAAAAATTGTTCCTCTTCTGTATCTTCTGTATTTCTAAATCATGCTTTTAATTCAATCCTCAGGTCATTCATTTCAATTTTATCATCCAATTACTTATATTTTCAAGTCTATCATCAAAGATTTTCAAACCTACCCTAAACTTTCAATTGATTCGTACTTGTATTAGCTACTTCTTTTTCTAAAGTACACCTGTGTAAGTCCTGTATTCATACATGTATTAATCATATCACCTTCTTAAGTATCACTGAGTGCAATGTCAGTACAGGTAACTACAGTCTCTCCTCGACTTACGACGGGGTTCCGTCCCGACGACCAGATCGTAAGTCGATTTGGTTGTAAGTTGAAAAGGCGAAAATAATACATAGAAATTTTAAAATGAAATACAGTACAGTAAAAGTGATCACTAATGAAAAATGAACAAAGTGTTACTGTGCACCTACCTTTAATGTAGTCAGCTGAATGCACATGGGGCCTCAATAATTTTTTAATTAAGCATGAAGACTACATTAATTGGACGAAGCAGAGGAGGAGACAGGGCTGGGTGGGTCATCAAGTTCGCTTTCTTCAGACAGGCTAACATACTTGCTTGTTGAAGGTATTGGATCATCTTTAGGGAGTGAAGAGGTAGCATTGGTGGGGCATGAGGAGACAGCAGTGGGGGACTTCTTAAAAAATGTCCAATTTAGACTGCACAGTTTGCCTTTTCTTTTCATTGTAAATCTCCCTGTAGCAAGCAAGTGCATCTTGTATCAGTCTGTCAACTTTTGAAAAATGCTCAACATTTTGATGCATTCCGTCAAACATTTGCATCCCCTTATTTAATAGTAGCAAATGCCTCTGCCATTTGTTTCACTGAAAACTTTTTGGGGGGTGCAGGTTCTTCTTTTACATTTTCTCTCTTCTTCTTCTGCAATTATCTGTGCTTCCAGTTCAATAAGAACCTCGTTACTTAGCTCTTCTGCTACACTTTCCACCAACTGCTCAACTTCTTCATTATCAATTTCTAACTCCAGCTGTTTACCCATCTGCACTGTCTTGTTACTAATCTCCGAAATTGCTTCAACTTCATTAAATCATTTGAAACTTTTCACATATCTTTTCAGGACCTTCTTCCATATTCCATTCATGCACTAACCTGTAACCTCATTCCATGCTGCAGCTACTGTATGTTCTTTGTACTGTATACATTGCAAAATGTTGTAATCCTTCCAAAACTCTCTGAACGTTTTCTCACCTTCAGTAGCAGCAGCAGCCTGAGCGAAGGTCGTACGTAAATAATACGCTTTAAAGGCAGCAATAGCGCCTTGATCCATGGGTTGGATGATAGAGGTAGTGTGAGGTGGAATGTAGACTACCTTAACATCAGGGTGCAGGTCATCCAGGTGTGGTGGGTGTCCCGGAGCATTATCTAAAATTAATAAAATATTGAACGCAACCCCTTGTTGCAGACAATACTCCTTGGCTCGTGGAATGAAACAGCTCAGGAACCAATCCTCAAACAGTGCTAGGGTCATCCATGCTTTCTTATTACTGCGATAAAACACTTGCAGTGTGTGC